ATATCTAGAACTTCCCTTAACGTTCTCAATTTTCTAATTTATAAGGTTTTCATTATCTGAAGAAAAGCAAGGTATATAAAAACTTTGAGATAATTAATAATAATTATATCTACAGCTTCTCTCCCACTTTCTCCACCATTTTGACAATCATTGAGACATTTTTCATGCCCTTGGCATTCTCATCATTGAATAGAATCCAGTGTGAAATTCTGACACATTTTTGTTAGAGCCTTGGTTTGTTGGTATCTGAAAAACCTCGTTTTGATATTAAGACATAAATTTAATAACTAGTTAAAACTGATATTATTCACTCTGAGTTTATTAAAAGCATTGTTCTTTTTTATTTTTAAGCTTATTAATTATTTAAATCTCTAGGATACACCATATAAGGTTTATTGTTAAAGTATTGAAATAGATATTTCAATGAAAACATAAAAGTATACGAAAAACATAAAAGAATGATGAATGAAAAATATGTCCTCAGGAAAGAAGATCAACTTTTGCTACTTGTTATTAGATGTAATAATTAAAGGTTTAACAAAAATGGCTACCAGTTAGCATATGCATATGATGTTCTAAGACCCTGCTAAAAAATACCTTATTCCATCTTCCTAATGAGTTATGAAGTATGTATGTATTATTTTGTTGATGAGAAAAATATATAGATATGAAGTCCTCCATTTGAAAAATGAAATTAGCAAAAGGAAAAATAAATTTCAGAGGTGTTAATGTAACTTGATCTAAAACACACAGGTTAGCAATTAGCAGATCCTACATTCAATACAGACCTCAGGATATGTTGCTGAAAAAATGAACTAAGTTGATAGATTAGAAAAGAAGAGAAGGAAATAAACAGTTTCAAGAAGCTAATGCTTTTAGGCCTCCAGCTAAATAAATGGTATTCCTCCAATGCTGGTTGATCTTCCCTTTTAAAATTAACCATGTCATAGTGTGATTTGAACTGATTCCAGTAGAGAAAAAATAACTCTGGGAAGAGGACTCTGGAGAGGGACAAACATGAACTCCAAATACAGTCTTAAAAATTTGAAATGCAAAAATCTTGAGAAAGACTATAGGGAAATAATTTGATTTCTACTTTGTAGAAAATATTCAAGTTCTAGTCAGACTGAGCTTTTTGGGCAACATGAATTTGATATCATAATTCACCTGTCTTTTACAAAGACAGAAAAACTGCATCAGTAAATGTAAGATTTACAACCAGTATAATCCTTATTGTTGCTTGATATTCTTGTGGGTTGATTAAGTATTCTCCTTAAATGTTTCTATTGTTATTCTCAATGTGTCCAGGGTATTTTGGAGGTTTCAACTTAATTGCACAGTGAATATTTCATGTAAGGCTTAAAAAAAAAAAAAGATACTCTGCATTTTCTAAAAAGGATTTAAGGCAGAATTCCTTAACTTTTCGAACAAGGCTATGAGTTAAGTTGTTGTTGTTGTTGTTGTTAAGTGCCGTCGAGTCGTTTCCGACTGATAGCGACCCCATGCACAGCAGAACGAAACACTGCCCGATCCCGTACCAGCCCCACAATCCCTGCTATACTTGAGCCCATCATCGCAGCCACTGTATCAATCCATCTCGTTGAAGGCCTCCCCCTCTTTCGTCGACCCTCCACCCTACCAAGCATGACATCCTTCTCCAGGGAATGGTCCCTTCTTACAACATGACCAAAATAGGTGAGACGAAGTCTGGCCATTCTTGCTTCCAAGGAGCATTCTGCCTGCACTTCCTCCAGGACAGATCTGTTAGTTCTTTTAGCAGTCCATGGTACTTTCAGCATTCTTCGCCAGCACCACAACTCAAAAGCATCAACTCTTCTTCGGTCTTCCCTATTCATTGTCCAGCTCTCACATGCATACAAGGTGATTGGAAATATCATGGCTTGTGTCAGGCGCACCTTAGTCCTCAAGGAGATATCCTTGCTCCTCAGCACTTGAAACAGTTCCTTCGCAGTTGACTTTCCCAATGCTACACGACGTCTAATGTCCTGACTGCTGCTTCCGTTGGCATCGATTGTAGAACCAAGCAATGTGAATTCTTTGACAACCTCAATCTTCTCTCCATTGATTGTGATGCTGCTCATTGGTCCAGTTGTGAGGATTTTTGTTTTCTTTATGTTGAGATGTAATCCATACTGCAGACTGTATTCTTCAACCTTCATCAGTAGGTGCCTTAAGTCATCCTCACTTTCAGCAAGCAAAGTTGTATCGTCTGCATATCTCAGGTTGTTAATGATTCTTCCTCCAATCCTGATACCACGTTTTTCTTCATATAGTCCAGCTTCTCGGATTATTTGCTCAGCATATAGATTGAATAAGTGTGGAGAAAGAATACAACCCTGACGCACTCCCTTCTTGATTTTAAACCATGTAGTGTCCCCTTGTTCTGTTCGAACGACAGCCTCCTGGTCAAGGTACAGATTCCTCATGAGTACAATCAAGTGCTCAGGGATTCCCATTCTTCTCAATGTTATCCATAATTTGTCATGATCCACACAATCAAATGCCTTTGCATAGTCAATAAAACACAAGTAAACATCTTTCTGGTATTCTTTGCCTTGAGCCAAGATCCATCTGACAACAGCTATGATATCCCTTGTTCCACGTCCTCTTCTGAATCCGGCTTGAACCTCTGGAAGTTCTCTGTCAATATACTGCTGCAAACGTTTCTGAATTATCTTCAGTAATATCTTACTTGCATGTGATATTAGTGATATTGTTCTATAATTTCTACATTCTGTGGGATCACCTTTCTTTGGAATGGGCACAAATATGGATCTCTTCCAGTCAGTTGGCCAGGTAGCTGTCCTCCAAGTAAGACAAATCATCAACACTTTTTATATCATGAAGCAGAACTTAATATTCAACCTAGGTCTCTATGACTCAAGAGTCCATTCAGTTAACCATTGAACATAAGTCCTCCATTCACTATGTCAGATTTCTCGAACTCTAGGCATCAAGGAACTCCTCCCCTAAAAGATATGTGTGAAAAGTCATGTTATAGCTAAATGTTACATAATTTACATAGTAACTACATGCTTTGTAATTCCACCAAAGATAACTGTTATCAAGATATGAAAAGATAATCATTTAATTCATTTTCCTGCATTTCCCTTTTAGCCCTGTGTCAGTCAAATTTCAAAATAACTTTGTTGTCTCAAATACAGTATTTAACTGCTTTTTATCTGAAAAGGCATCCTTTTCATGCCACTCCCCAGATACCCAAAACTGCCTGTTCTATTTTGGTTATTCATTATTTCAATACTAGCTGCTAAATAGTTAAAGCAAGAAATTGTTACCAATCAGGGTTCTGGCAGGAAACACCTGCCCAATCAAATTTGAAGATATGAATAGAGTTTAATAAAAAGTCTATTTATAATATTGTACGCAGACTGTTGAGAAAGCATCAGGGATAGTGCTGTAATTCAGGAGCTTGTCATATCAGTGCTCATTAGCAAGCCGAGGTCTGAAAGGTGAAGATTAGAAGAGGTTACTAGAACCTCAAAGGAGAGAATTCTGTGAAGGTTGCTTTGGCAAGAGTTATAACCTTTGATAGAGAGATACAGCCAAATTTAGGAAACTTCTCAAGGAGTCGCTTACATCTCTTGCTGGGTTTCCTTTTGATCGAACCCAATCAAGCCAGAGGGCAAGGCAGCCTACTGATGCAATCTAGAGAGATCACTGTGTCAGGACACAGAACAGAGTGGGAGAGGGTAGTGAATGGATCTAGAGGGGCAAATGGAAGGTATTCAGCATAAAAGTGCCCAGAATGTTGGATCAGAAAGAGGTTGTTATAATCCACATGAATTATTTGTATTAGGGGGAAAGTATAATCTAGCAAGGTCCTGGAAACAGAGTATATGTCATGATACCTTTCCCTTAGCAATTGTCATTGAGTAGATTCTGACTGATGGTGAACCCCATACATCAGAGTAGAAGTGTGTTCCATAGTGTAGTTCTGGATAAATCGTGAGATTCTTAAATGCTCTTAATTTCTAACCATCCCTCATTTCCTCTGACTACTACCTGCTTTTTTCACCTCTTTCCTTCTGACAAGTTTTGTTTTTTACTTAAGCCTCCAATCACCAGTTAATTTGTATACTGAAGATTTCATTTTCTCTCTCACATCTTGCCCATTGTTCCTTATACTTTATCTCACATATCTCACCTATTCAACTTTTTTTAATTCATGACAGCCTTAAGAAAAATAAAATAGGCAAAGAGCATTTGGGCACTGCTCTAGGGTGAGAAGCTATCCAGAAGTATCAAGGTCAGAAACTTTTACAAATAACATAACATAAAATTGTGCCATAATTCATTTTGGCACAGTTTTAATATTATTTACAAATAATAGATTTCATTGATGAGAAATAAGTACATAATATGTAAAATGTTGAAAAACGTGTAGAAATCAGTAAAAGAATCTGTAAAACAAACAAACAAAAAATAAATGACCTGATTTTTTTATGAGTATCTGGGAGCATTTTAGGAGAATTTATAAAAGCAGTTACAATTCAAGAGCGAATATTGTGGATGAATTGATTACTGGGAAAATTTTTAAGTAAAAGTTACATTAGAACAACAAGAATGAAAACCGTATAACTTAATATAATCTCTGGGTGTGGTTCCAAGTAAGAAGAGCTTTAAAGTTGAACAAATGCAACATACTCTGCTTTTCCATCTTCCTCAATATGCAAACATGTGACCAGCAGCCAAGTTTAATCCCATTGGAAGCTCTCTGTTTCTCTCTCTGTTTATACTGTTCTCTTTCTCTTTCTTGCTCTCTGTCTCTGTCTTGTCTTCTTTCTCATTGGCTCTATCATTTAACTTACTGTAATTCTGCAATTCGATTACTTAGCTGTTGAATCATCAGCATTGAGTTCAGGAAAGTCTGTTACTGATGTTAGATGCAGTCTTGGTTAAAATACAAAAAAATATATTAAAAAATGAACTCAGGCTTAATTCTTTAATTCTTTTTGCAGGATGGGTTGACCCCACTTCATTGTGCTGCACGAAGTGGGCATGACCAAGTGGTGGAACTTCTGCTGGAACGGGGTGCTCCCTTGCTGGCAAGGACTAAGGTGAGTTATTATGAGCAAGGTACAATCTAAAGGACTTAAAACTATTTTTTTTTTATTAATAATCTCTATTCTTTATAAAATCAAAGCATCAACCAAGCATTTTTTAGTTACTCAATGTAGATGGATGTGAAATATGTATTGAATAGCATCCAAACAAATATTCATACTGTTTTAAAATTATTTAAAAATTAACACACATGTGTTTTAAGAGGTCTTAAATGTGTACATTCAAAATCTTTCCACATTTTTGTTACCTGCTATTTTAATACACATGGAAATTGGAATGTGTATATATATAATATGCAAATGAGAATATGAAGTTTAAGGACTTTTCTGGCTCTAACATTCTATGAGTCTAGATTTTTATGAGTCTCTGACATGGACACAAAATATATATAAAACTATCTCTCTAGAACAGTGCAATTAACAAACAAGATGAATGTTTTAGCTCATCTAATCTTTATCTCTTAGGCAATATTAGTAATAAAAATTATTGAACAGTGGTGTTGGTGATTATATTTGGGATTAGTAAACATGATGTGGAAAGCATGAGTTAGGATAGACCACTTGTGAAGATCCATTAAACAAATACATTTCTATCCATGGCACAATATATCCAGCATTTTTTTGTTTCATTTCATTAATAGCTTCAGCTATGGACAAAATCCTTTTCTATATAAATAAAAATCACATGGCAATTCGATTTGTTGGTAGTTTTTAATTATAAAATGTATATTATAAGCTTTATTAGTCTGTCATTCCTCACTATCTAACCTTACACTGGATCAGTAATACAGATGTCTTTATTCAGCATTTCAGATAAATACGTCTTCCTTTGGGCTATTTGGGGATTACCAGAAATACCATAGGAGTTCTGGTAGCATAGTGCCTAAGGCACTTGACTGCTAACCAGAAGGCTGGCAGTTCAAACCCACCAGCCACTCCTCGGAAGGAAGGTTGGGCAATCTACTTCCGTAGTGATACTGCCTCGGAAACCCAAGGAGGGGTCGCTATGAGTCAGGTCTGACTCGACAACACATAACAACAACAACAGAAATACCATGGGACACAAATTGAAGATAATCACACAGCTTTTTAATGGTATATTCCATAATCTTTGGATTCTTTAATACAACAACAAAAATTTAGACAAAAGACACATCTTACATTTTCTCCATATCCCCCTGAATAGGGTTCATATTGACTGGTGTTATTACTAAGGTAATCCAAGGAAATAAGGAAGCACATGTAAACAAATATTTCTCAATTTATGTTATAACTGAATTGAAAATTTAGTTGAAATAATTTGGGGCAAAAATCAGTCCACCTATTTAAAATATGAATAGCATGAACTTGGTCTATATGCAAAGGCTATGAGAGAGTAACTACAAATTAGAAACATATGAAGAAAATAAATAAATCATTTGTATTATTTACATTCCCTTAGGTATACTGTGAACATTGTATAGATTTATCTTTAAAATGCAACATTCTGAACAGGGTGATGTAGAGATAATTATGGGACATTTTGTTGAAAAACTAATTAAAATTTAAATGGAAATAACAAAATTTCATACCAATCATGACACAACCACTCAAAAGGCTATGTTAAATTAGGAATAGGCAGATATGCTCTTTCACAAGCTATAAAATAATATTGACTACAGATTTTGCCTGCAATTGTTATGTCACTAATGAAGACCATGGGTATCTATATAGACTTTTTTTTAATAACCTCCCTGTACAATCATAGTATTTGTATGTAAGAATCTAGCACAAAGTATCTTTCACTATCTAATTATATTAACTTATTCATTCATTTATTCCTTTATCTAACTATTATATATTGACAGCTACAATGTAAGGGATTATCAAGATAAATAATATTCAGTTCATACCTTTGAGAGGCTCAGAAAATTCAGTGAATAAGATGAAGAGATAATTACAAAAAAAATATATGTATGTTAAAGGCAAAGAACATAGAGAAGATTAACTAACCAGTTTAGAAGGAGATGACACTAGCCTGGAAGTGAAATAAGTGCCCTTATTCTGGACTGTTCTCCCTCCCCCTCCATAAAAACTCCCAGTTTTGAGTCACCTGTTGTTCTTCCTTGAAACATTATATTTTCTATTCATCCACGTACGTATCACTCACACTCATTCTTGGAAAATTCTCAGTTCACTGTGACTCTTTATCACTACCCCAATCAATCTATTCTAGTTTTTAGCTTCCTTTCTTCAGAACCCCAACTCTAGAATTTTTTCTTTATTCTGCTTGGACTCCTAATTAATTAATTAATCCACTGTCCCTCATTCACCTTCACCTCATGCCCTCATCTCTGCCCATAATAAATCCTTTAGTCATATATTCCACCTATATATTCATATTCATTTCACCCTGATTAAATTTAACTCTCTTCATACCTGAACTGCATGTAGCTGGAGGAACCACACAACCTCACTGACTGGGCTCACTTTAAATTCAGTCAGTTTGATCAGTAACCTAAAGTCTTCCCTTACCACTGCCTAACTATCGACTCTATATTCCCCAAATCTCCCTCCCTGTTACCTGTCTATTCTACACTTTTTCTTTTCCCTTCCAGCTTCTCAGGCTTCCTTCCCTATCTTCAATTCCCACAACACTAAAAAAAGTTGAAGGGGTCAGACAAGAATTTCTAGACTCCTACCTTCATATCTATTTGCTACCATGAATCAGGACCCTATGTTCTCTCCTATTTCTACCATCTGACACACTTGCTTACTCCTCCTTTCTCTAATCACTTTCCTTATTTGTCTTCTGGGACATTATACTCTCTTGCTTTCTTGATGCTGCTTCTCAGTCTCCTTTACTAGGTCTTCCTCTCTTCTCAGGTCTTTGATAATTCAGTCCCCTAGCTCTCAGTCATTAGGCCTTTTCTCTGTCTGTCTATATGTATCCTGCTCAGAGGTCTCATCCAGTTTTATCTTTAAATAAAACCTATATGCTGATGACATACAACTGTATATCTCCAGAATTTCATATGTTTATATCCAATTTCTTACCCATGATTGCTACATGGATTTCTACAGGGAATCTCAAATGTAATAAATTCAAAACTGAGATCTTGATATTTTCCCCAATTCCAAATCTACTTCCTCTGGAGTCTTGCTTATCTTGATTAATGGCTGTCCCATTCTTTCAGTTTCTCAAGCCTAATAACTGGTATTATGGTATTGATTCCTCTTTTTCTCACTTTGCACATCCTGTCACCAAACCCTTTCACTTCTCCCTTTAAAGCATATTGCTAAGTCAGTAATTTCCCTCCAGTGTCATTGTCATGACCCTTGTCTAGGTCATCATTGATGCTACTGTTCTAACAAATTTATGGTATGGTAAGTTAAATGTGATGTGGGAAAGATTCAGGGGTGTCATGAAAATAACTATGTTTATTATACTTACAACTCCCAGAGAAAAGGAAACTGCTAAAGAGGTAGGGAGGCCACATCTTTTGACCTCCTCTAACCCCACAAGAGGAAGACAGAATCACCATCAGTAGTTCAAGGCCTATTCCTGTGAAGCCAGACATGCGACCTCCCTCCAGCCCTGACACTAACGATTCCTCCCGCAGCACCCACCAGCTCTCTGCTGGGTTCAATAATTTGCTGCAGTGGCCACACAGAACTCACAGATTATGGGGTTTATTAGAAAAGAAACAGGCTACAACTCAAGTTCAGAAACACGCTCAGTCTCTCTCAGCCCCGTCTCTCAGCTGACAGTTTCTCTCAGTGGTGTGTGTCCTTGAGGTCTCTCTCAGCAGTGTGTGTCTCTCGCATCTTTCTCTCAGCAGGGTGTGTCTCTCATGTCTCTCAGGAGTGCGTTTCTCTCAGCAGCATGTTTTTCTCAGCCAGCAGTCAGAGAGACTTCTGCCTATAAAAGGGCTTCTTTTGAGCCTGGCAGAATGACCACTAACCAATCTCAACATCAGAATGCTATACAACTGAGAAAGAGTGAACTTTCCAGAAAATTACTTTGTGCTGCAACAGAAATACCCCAGGTGGATAACTTAACAATCAGGAGCTATTCAGTTGCTCACAGCAAATTCCACCATGGAGTTTACAAAGACTTAAAACTAGAAAAGCCATACTATGTAATTTACTACACCACACAGCCACAGAATGCCATGACAAGTGTCACACAGGGAGCTGTACCCAGAGACAAGCGGAATTGTAGGAGAGGGCTTATATATGGCAAACAGGATGAAGTTATCTAGGTTGTGGGGACTTCCTAGAAGTTGGGCATTTCAAATAATTTTACAGGCTCAGGAGGTATAGGGGCCATTCCTATTGTTGGGTACCTGGTCCCAAGGTAATTAGAATGAGTGCCTAGTGGCCCAAGAGTGTGAGGAATTGATAAAGGGTGTGGTTCAAGAAGGAGAATGAATCTGTCTCCCACTAGCACCTCAAAAATGGATTAAGGCAGCATTTAAAAAATACAACTTGGCTGGGCCTGGTTGAGTGCCTGAGCAAATGGTGGCAGTTATTCCCCATAATGAGACTGGCAATCAACTTCATGGGAGGATCTACCACAAGCAGCTGAGTAGCTGCCTTTGAGATGTGGTCTGCTTCCTGTATATAAGAAGCCTTGGGAATGGTCTCTAGTTTATGGCACGCTTGGACCCCGCATGTAGCCATGTCTTTCTTGAGCAGCCTGCTATGCTCTACCAACCTTGAGACTGACAATGAACTTGAATTAATGGCCTGCCGTGTGGTTTGGTAACATCAGAACTGTGCCTTTTATTTGTCAACCTTGGGTTTTTCAGCCTCAGTAGCCAGCAGTTGTCTGAGTGAAGAAATGCCTCTAGCTTCAGTGGACCAGGAGCAGGAGGAAAAACTGGACCCCAAGGTTAGGGGGCTTTCACCCAGCCCCTAGAGCCTGGCACTTGAACTTAGACTTAAAGCCTCTAAATTTTAAGAATAAACTCCTGTTTGTTAAGGCCATCCCATTGTGATGTATTTTTTTGTCAGAGAGGCACTAAGTAACCAGAACATCCCCTAACTGATATCCTTTCCTCTGCCTTTACCCTAGTCATTCTAGCCCTCAGCATATCAACCAGAGTAATCCTATTACCCAAGACTCTCCAATAGCATCCATCTGACCCTGAGTGAAAGTCAAAGTCCCTGCTCTGACTTGCAAGCTCTCTTACCTCTACATATTTCTTTCCTTATACATTCTTTTCATTCACCTAAAGTCACACTCTCCTCCTTACACTTTATAGAACAAGTCAGGTATGGTCCTGGTACAACATGTTTGCATTTGCTTTTTCTCCACCTTAAATGCTTTCTCCCAAAATCAGTGTGACCAGCTGTTTTTCTCACATATCTTCAGTCAAAACTCATCTCAATGGAGCCGTTATTGTTGCGCTATCCCTGTTGGTACCATGGTTAAAGCACCAGGCTGCTAACCTAGGTTGGCGTTTGGAACCCACCACTTACTCTGGGGGCAAATGATGTGGTTCTCTGCTTCTGTAAAGATTTATCACCTTGGAAACCCCATTGGACAGTCCTACTTTGTCTTACTTGGTTGCTGTGAGTTAGAATTGACTTGACAGCAGTAAATTTTCACCCCAAATTATACTTCCATGCATGAACTCCCTTGACTACTCTGTTTTTTATTTTCTCCTGCGCACTGATGGCCATCTAACTTCTCTGTCTTTTTGAATTGTCTGTCTCCCACACTAGAATGCCATCTCCACAAGGACAGGAGTTGCTATCTGCTGCATTCCTTGCTTTATCCTCAGTATCCAGAATAGGGCTTGACACATAGTAGACACTCAGAAAATATTTTAAAACAAACAAAGGACTGAATGGTAAATATATTTTTTTCCCCACACATCCTTCAAGTAGATAAAATAGCATCAGAGAATAATAAAATTTGAAAAAGATGTGCAAATTTCCAGTTCAAATATTGTGAAGGCCTTACTTACCTTACTTACACTAACCTTCACACTATCTTCTCAACACATAACTACCATATCATTTAGCCTGCTACTCCTTTCTAAAAATTTTACAAATTTCTAAATATAAAGGCTCTGGTAGCATAGTGCCTAAGGCACTTGACTGCTAACCAGAAGGCTGGTGATTCAAACTCACCAGTCACTCCTCGGTAGGGAGATGGGGCAATCTACTTCCATAGTGATACTGCCTCGGAAACCCAAGGAGGGTCGCTATGAGTCGGGTCCGACTTGACGGCACATAACAACAACAACAACAAATATAAAGGCAGTAATTAGACATGAAGAGTATTACAAAAAAGAGAAAATATATTGATAATTTAAAAATCTCATATAATAATACCACCCACAAACTATCACAATAAAGATTTTGATGGACTTGTTTTCAACTGTCCCTAATTGTTGAGATCACCTTCTTTGTTGAGAATATTGGGCCTTGAGCCTTTTCTAACTTTTTATCTAGCCACGAATTCTGCTTCTTTGAACATAATAACTGCTAAGCTAGAAACTTGGTCAACAATTAGTTTTCTACAGACCATATTTTGTTGGCCACTAAGACAAGAAGACAGCCCAGTCTCTTTAATAGGTAATGTTTTCTTATTTAGTTTATTTCTTAAATTTATATTTCTTATATATTTATGTATCTTAGAAAAAAAAAAAAGAATCTTACCAGCCTGACAATCACCAGTGAATTAATTACCCTACTAACTTGTGTTCCTACTGTTTACCTTTTCCTAGAATTCAATTGTGCTTTTTTGAGGATCGTGTTACAAATTACAAAGATAGATTATCTTAAAACTTTTCAAGTTATGCGGTAGTTAACACATGATGCATATTTGCCTCACACTTCAAACTCTTAACTACTTGTTCTCTCCAAGCCTACTTCAAGTCTCATGATAGAATGAGAAATTGGAATCACAAAACTCCAGAGCAGCATGGATATGAGAGAAAATCAAAGTTTCATTCCTTCTTTGACCCATACACCTACTTTATCTTTCTTTATCCCTCTTCCCACTCCATTTTATAAGAAATACAGGCAGAGAGATTAATTGAATTTGATTGCTGTGTATGGAATTAGACACAAATAATTTAAGTATCGTAGTGCCTAAGGCATTTGATTGTTAACCAGAAGGCTGGCAGTTCACCAGCCACTCCTCAGAAGGAAGGTTGGGCAATCTGCTTCCATAGTGATACCACATTGGAAACCCAAGGAGGGGTCACTATGAGTCAGATCCGACTTGATGACAGTGAGTTTGGTTTTTGATTTTGGTATCATCTGTGTTAATACATCTAATATTACACTAATACTTGTGAAATCAGGTTTACTTGCCATACATATTATGTATTCTTTCATGAAAGACATCAGTTTTTGCTTTTGCCTAACAAAGTATAATTCTGAAATGAAATGTCCACCAAACATAACCTGTATATTCAGACATCAAATGGGAAATTAATTTTTCCCCACAACCAACTGCTTCAGATATCCAGAATTGACTTTGTTGTGTTTTGGAACCTGAAATTAATGAAGAAAAATGGACACTTGACTTAGTTTTTTTTTTTTTTTTTTTGATGTGCAGAATGGGCTGTCTCCACTTCACATGGCTGCACAAGGGGACCACGTGGAATGTGTGAAACACCTATTACAGCACAAGGCACCTGTTGATGATGTCACCCTTGACTACCTGACAGCCCTCCATGTTGCTGCACACTGTGGCCACTACCGTGTAACCAAACTCCTTCTGGACAAGAGAGCCAATCCGAATGCAAGAGCTCTGGTAAACCTAGCCCAGTCCACCTTAATGAGATAAAAGATCAAGACATGCAAACACACGCTGAGTGACTAGTGATGCAGACACTAGCAATGCGTGGTTACAAATATATGTAGTCAGTCCTGCTAAGTTCATCATCCCCACAAACTGCCTGCCTAATTCATGCCTTCATGATTTTCAATTAAGTGATGATGAGCAAGGATGGATTTAAGAGAACACCAAGGTTGTATTTCTGAAACCAATGAGTTGCAAACAGATAGATATGAAACCTCTGGAATGATAAGCAATTTTAGATGTAAAATTGAAGCTGAAAAATAGAAAATTATAAAATGATTTCTAGATAGTTCTAGACAAAGCCAGATTTTGAGGAGTAAAAAACTGAATTTCATTCAACTAATTTTGGGGAAAAAGTGGTTTTAAAATGATTACTAACTTTTACTACATAAGAAAGTATCAAATGTATACCTATGAAGAGTTCATTTGGATATTTTCCTTACCCACCTATATGCTAATAGAAAAATGATGCCTAGCATTTAGTTGCTTCAGTAAACATTTTATATAAGCCATTTCAGGACTTGAGCAAGAGAAAACTGCAAAAGGCTGCCCTTAGGGCAGATTCTGTGTCTTCTAAGGTCTAATATTGAATAAATCTTCCTTGCTTCACTTATATTCTAACAATATCATTGGAAGTATTAGGCATGTACTAATTTATGCTTTTTGTTTCCTAATTCTCAAATTAAAAGCAAATTTTTTTCCCCATTTGTCTATATGGTTTATGTTGGTTAAAATTAGTCTTCAGGCATTCAATATTGAAGGTGAGACAATGTCATTTAGCAAAAATTAAATTTTATTTTTATTAGAAATTTTCCATTAGAATCATTTTGTTCATAATTTCCTGGGAAGTAAATATGCTTTTAGGGTATGTGGAATTATATAAGGATATATATTTTCTTATAAGAAGATATACATTTTTCTCATTTTCAATTACGTAGTGGTCAATAAGGTTATAAAATGTTAACAATTATTAAATTACAAACCTTTAATGTACTGCATATACATGTGGCTTATTACATAGCTCATAAACAGGGAAATGACTGAATAAATTAATTAATTATGTTTCTAGCCCTATTATGAGGAATAATAAGTCATTGGCTTATGCAATAACACTATACTTTCCTGAGAACTGCTATTATGTAAAACTATTGAATGATGATCATTCCCTTTTGGGTCATGCATAACTATTAATAGAATAGATATAGCTCAACCAAAGGATCATTGTTCAAATAAAAATAAAACTTATATATAATACATAAGAATTAAATATACAGCTAGTTACAAGATGTTACCTAAATATTACACCGAGTTCGAAAAGTTAGGAGGCAACTTAAAGACATTGTCTCCACGTTCTTTTGTGTCTAAGAGGAAACTCCTTCCAGTTATCCCAGAAACTCTCCATACTTTTCCTGAAAATATTCAATAACTTAATAATCATTTCTTTATAAAGTAAAAATTAATGATTTGTACATAGTTTATAAAATATTTTAATTTAAGAACTATAACTTCCAAAGTGTTATCAACATAATTAATGATTTCTGCTAATTTGCAATACCTCCTTTCTAAAAAATTGGTAATAAAGATAAACCATTTATTATAGAATCAGTAATGTTCTTACATGTTTTGAAGTAAGTTAGATGAACAGTTCTTATGCTCTGAAGAAATGGCCTTCATCAGGAAATTACATGGTTATATTCAGTCTATCTTCAAGACATTTCACAACACGACTAAACAGTATATCCTTGAACATCTTAGAACTTCTAAAATATAATTACATTTCTATCATTTTCTTCTTTGAAGAGTAGGTCCATGTTTTGCCCTTCACTTTTGTTTTCTTAGTAGTCACACAAACTATAATATACAGGACACCACATGTCTACAAAGTTCAGTGTCTACAGGAACACACCACAACTTCTTTTCTTTCCAAATCCCAACACCTACAGGGTTGAAGGAAATGGTAACAGTATGTGACAATGTAACATTATTGCCTGCAATGTGCCAGCATGGAGTTGTGTGAGAATCGTACCTGCATGTTTTCAACTAACTTGATTGTCTTTTGCACAGAATGGTTTTACTCCACTGCACATTGCCTGCAAGAAAAACCGCATCAAAGTCATGGAACTGCTGGTGAAATATGGGGCTTCAATCCAAGCTATAACAGAGGTAGAAAAATGTTTCCGCTTATCACGAAACATGCCTTCTCGTATTCCTCCCTTCTCTTCTTTTCACCCATTTTCTGTCCTCTTCACTTCACTCAAGTTTTATTTATCTGAAGAAGCCCCAAAGTCCCTACTGGTGCAGAGGAGTAAAACTGCTGTTGCTTTGTTTCGCAGTCTGGCCTCACACCAATACATGTGGCTGCCTTCATGGGCCACTTGAACATTGTCCTCCTTCTGCTGCAGAACGGAGCCTCTCCAGATGTCACTAACATTGTGAGTATGGCTTGGGTTAGAATAACCACAGGGAGAAAGAGCAAGAAGAACAGAGAGTATGGGTGTGTGTAGCTATGTGTGTGTGTTAAGTGAGCAACTGAGCTTTTAGAAGGGCTCCTGTGATGAAATATTTTGAAACAAAATTACTAGAACTTCACTGAGAAGAACCTTCATAGGGTAAAAATAGGTTAGAAAATAAAATGGAAGCTGTAGAATAAGACCTTTTAAACATCCAGATACAGATGGATTGGACATGCATCCTAAATGCATTTATTAAAGCAAAATACATTTCAAAATGTTCCTGAAAGTGAATGGATGATTGGTTAGAATAAAATCTTCAGGACTTAATCCAGTTGCTTGAATGAATTGTACTCCAGATAGTTTTGGTTAAAATATCAAAACAATATAGTCAATACCATAATAAATCATGTCAAAAAATTAACCAGAGATAGATCAATATTAGGAATTGTTACTTGATATCAAATCATCAGTTCATGAATTTTCCATTTTCTAACCTTACTTTGATTTTTAATTTTGATTTAATTTTGTTTGCTAGAGTGGAGGCCTCTCTTCCGTGAAACATTTTTGCCCTAGCAACTTTTTTTCTTCTTCTTTTTTTTTTTTAATGTATCCTGTAATGAATCCAGACAACTTTCATTCTGTCAATCCATATAAGATATTCCAGAGTCTGTCTATCGAAAGTAAATTAGCATTTTGACTTCTAGCATTTTGGTATTTTTCTAATTTTCTTGAATTCTGCCCCTTTATTGTATCATGACAAACTACCCAATGAAAACTTCTCCTGAGCAACAGCACTTGCTCTGCACATGATGCAGTCATTTATCTGCAGCTCAAAAGACCCACTTAATATTGTAATTAAAAGAAACAAAAAGAAGAACATAGATAGCAGAAATAACTCACCCCAAATAAATGTTTGCTCTTATTACTAAAATGAATTATATTTTCAAAAGTGATTGATCTCTGTTGCTAAATTTTGGTATCTTATTCCATTTGAGTTGTGAAATAGAATGTCAAATTTCACATCTTATTTTTATTCCCATATCCTTTTCATTATGTATATTTTGCACAGTTTTTCTGCTGAAGTTTCTATTGCCTGGGCAAAATCCATTGTGGAAATAAACTTATTTGATTTTAAGTATTAGTAAATGCTCTCTCTTCATATCATTCAACAATTGAGCATAAAACTATTAAAATATTTAAATATAAGGCCCATGTTTATAACTTTATCAAATTATGGCTTATTTTTTCTAAGATAATAATATTATACATTAATAATATTATACATTAATCTTTGATTACCCAGTTAAGCATAAGAGTAATTTTACAACTTTCCAACTTAGGTTTAATTTCCAGCACTTCTTAGAACTTTAAAAGAAACCAACATCCACCATTTTTTGGCTGACTTTTTCCCCCTTTTATTTTTTTGTTGACACCTGTATAGACTTACAAATAGGCCAGAACTTTCAAGGAAAGTACTATGTGTACATGTCCATTGTCCTGTATTTTCCTTGTTTGCATTCCAATGCCTACAGAATTAGAGAAATTGTTATATTGTGTTAAATTATCATGTTATAATAATAACATATATATGTATATTCTATATGGTGCTTGACTAGAAGATTCTAGTTCAATATTTTTTTAGAAAGATTTTGCAAAATCATCAGAGTAATTCTCCTTAAATAGTTGTGGGATTTTGTAGCCACTCTTAATTTGCTTCCTTACATGACTAATTCTCAATCTTTTGAGGGTTATGGCTTCAAACATGTTGCCCTCTGCAAATAATTGCTATACAATGTATATTTATGTATGTGATTCTTATCATACTATATATGTTACATATAATTTTCAAATAAAATGTTAATAAAAACAGTATTTTTTCCCCTTTTTTTGGGTTCTTACACACTTCCAAAGTTTAATCATATATTGAACTTTTAACTGTTAATCTGAAGTTCCTCATTTTGTTTTCTCTCTTCATTTGTCAATTATATGCTCTTCCCTTCTATCCCTTTTGAAACACACACTGAGAGAAAGCTGATAGTATAGTAATTTCTCAACAATTTTCTTAGTTATTTTTTGTTTATTTCATTTGTTTTCCTAAAATGTGTGCTCAGGGAGAAGATACCATATAGATAGGATTACCAGAAAAACTACAGAATTCCCAGTTAAATTTGATTTGCAGATAAATGACTTTTTTTTTTTCTCCACAGAAGTATGACCCATGCAAGATTTGGGATATAGTCATACTAAAACAATTATTTCTTGTTTGTGTCAAATTCAAATATAACTGGTCATTCTGTACATATATTTGCTAAATCTGAAAATGCCACATTTAGAGGAATTTATGTTTTCTTAGCAGTGGAATGCTTGTGAACTTGTGTATTCTAGACCACGAGAATATAGTTATTGGGTCCAAAACTCCTTGCAGGTCGATTAAGAAACTGTGTGAACACTGACTGCCTGCTTGCTGTGTCAGAGTTGGTCATTTCCTGACTCCAAAGTTCCCCACCCTTGGAGCCTTTGTGTGTTGCTTGAAATCGTGTTGCATTTTTGAATGCAATGCTGTCTGTTGTGCTTTGATGCTTTCCGACTTGATGCAGCCAAATTGGAAGTCAATGTAGCTGTCAGCAGAGTCAATTTCAACAACTGAAAAGAGAAGCATGAAACTTAGTACCTGCTTTGGACATGAGCATACCCATTCTCTTGCCAGTCTTGTTTTTGTCTGAAAAATATTCACTCCACATTTGAGGTATACAAATACTCAATCATGAGCAGATATTATGACCACAATGCTGTTTTCCAGAAAGCTTATAAATGAACCTAGAAAATTGAACTGTCAATTGCAATACACCATAATCCAAAGTATTCATTGACTGAACAGTTGGTGTAGAAACCCATGCACTTTCAGGGCTATCAAGAGCACAGTGTGGAGTAGTACAAAGTGTTCTCTTCTTCCTGTAACAAATCAATGGATTCATAGTAAAGTTAACACTTTATATTCTGTTTTCTAATTTCCCCCAACACTTAAATTTAGTTAGCTTAAAATAACGACAACAAGGCTGTTGAATAATATGAGGTGCTGAACAGTCAAGAAATGGAAGTTACTGACTAAAACAATATATATTGCCATTCATTTTCTTATTTATATTTATATATCAATATAGGTAATACAAATATAAAAAGGTAAAGGCAAGTACGTTACCCGAGAGGCATTAAATAAGCATTAAACGAGAACATTTTTATAAAGTAGGGAAATTAGGTATGCATGTGCCTTTTTTTAAAAAAATAAAATTTCTAATATTTTAGATTAGGTTTCCAATCCGACTAATCAATTTCAAATGTTTTAAAAACATAACAAATAACTTATTTAACTCTTGGGCATATTTTTATATTTTTAAAACCTCTTACTTGATAAGCTTGAGTAGTCAAATAAGGATGTTCATTCATCATTGAGTAGGAACTGTGAGTGCATCTTTGACTTAATCTTTGTAAGTAAATTTATTCTTGTCTTTATTTCTACCAAAATGAGTAAAGTTACTATACCTTTATGAAATCTAAAGATAAAATGAAGATTTAAGGTGTTTTTATTGTTGTTTCAATAGTTGGAAGATCTTATCTTCATCTATTTAGAAATAGACTTAGGATATTTCAGTTATAGCAAATTTTCCTCTACGGACAGCCATTATTTCTAACTTGTTTTCTCTATCACTTAAAACCTAAGTCTGAAGACAAATACTATTTATTATTCTTGTGTTATTTCCAAAACAGTGTGTATATTTATTTTACAAGAATCAAATATGCCATCAGAACTTAAGGTATTAGAGAATAAATGAGTCATCAAGAAAGAAAATTTAATGTGCAAATTAATGCTCTCAAAATCAAGTCATTTGAAATGAGTTTCTTATAAGTTCAAATAAGTCATAGTTCTTTGACAACTTGGATGAATTAACTGAGAGGTATGTACCAAACAAAATTTCACCTTAAAACTTCTAAGTTTAAGGATTTGTTGTGCAAGGAATCTGATGTAGTTATTCACTGGAATTTGTCAGAAATGTTGAAATTACCCCAACCAACTTTAAAATGAATTTGGTAGTTTTGGATGGTTTGTTTCACTTGGTTGAAATCAGTTTATTTTTTAGAAAAGTTGTGGTGAATAAATATGTAATTATTTTTATTCCAACATCTTATTTTTTTATAACTGTAAAATTATGTACGTGAAAGAAACTGCCTTCTTTGGAATGACATGTGGTTTTAAAATGTGCTGATTAAAAAACAAAACTAAACTCTCTTAGCAGCAGGAATTAACTGGACTCCCAAAGACAAAATTCTCTTACATCTAATCTTTATCCTTCATGCTGCAGCTTATGCTACCATTTCCTGATAAGTGAGTCATTCCTCTATGCAGCTTGAAGATACCTGGGGAATGATGTCACTTCCTGTGCTGCCTACCTGAATGGATGACACTGTTACCGGTTGCTTTACTCATTTCTCAGTCTTTCTCTCAGATAACTGTTTATTATTAAACATACTCATTAATATTAAACAGGGTACTTCCAGGGCAAATTAAATTTTCTTACAGCAACTGTCATAATGTAGTCTCATAATACAAAGACAAACTAGATGCCAAAAAATAGTTTTTTTCAGAAATAAATTTTGGATTTTGAAAAGGACTAACTTAGGTGTAGTGCCAGTGAGGTGATTGTTGCAATATGCTGAATTGATTTTCAGCATTTAGAGGGTTTTTTGTTTTTTTTTTAAATCAGATTAAGTTGAGGTAGTTAGGTGTGACAATGACAGATTTTAGATTTATAGAATGAACATAACTTTATCACCAAAAACAATTTAAGTTATGCTAAGTTGATTGTGAAGTTAAACCTCAAGGTATCTATGATGTTTGATTGGTTTGTCATGGACTGGAAAACAGCAGCAACAACAAAAACATATCTTTTATCCTTGAAGACAGAGAATAATAAAAATTATATTTTTCTAGATTAAATAATTACATCTTTTCATACAGACATCTTAAATCCTTGGATGTGTTGCTGAATTTCACAAAAAGGGACATCTTTATTCTTTACCATCTGGAACAGTGGGTTTAGTTATGATTCAACAATCTTTGTTTCCTCACAGCGTGGGGAGACAGCACTGCACATGGCAGCCCGGGCAGGACAGGTGGAAGTTGTACGATGCCTTCTGAGAAATGGTGCCCTTGTGGATGCTAGAGCCAGGGTAGGTGCTGGTGCTCAGTTCTCATCTATTTATGTGATTCCTGCCTTTAAGTGAGGGTATTCTTCATTTCTTTCATTGAAAATGACATGGATTGTTAGTGAAAGTATTAATTCAATCATTTTTTTTTTCAGGCAAAAAGAAACAGTAAATGTATACAATGAAAACTGCACCTCAATTTCAAAAATATTAATATTTGAAAGAAATGTGATTTAGTATCTTGAAAATACCGTATTGGCTTATATTTTAATATTTTTTTAACCTATGAAAGCCTTTCACACTTTTTTTGCTTCCTTTTTGTGAATTCGAAAGTTTACCACTATTATATAGATGCTGGAGGCTCTGGTAGCATGGTGCCTAAGGCACTTGACTGGTAACCAGAAGGCTGGCGGTTCAAACCCACCAACCACTCCTCGGAAAGAAGATGGGCAATCTACTTCCATAATGATACTGCCTCGGAAACCCAAGGAGGGGTCGCTATGAGTTGGGTCCGACTTGACGGCACATAACAACAATATAGATGCTATAAAACTCATTGTAACCAAGTAGATTCTGAGGCATAGTGACCAATAAGACAGTGTAGAACTGTTCCACAGAATTTCCAGGGCTGTGATCTTTATGGAAGCAGACTTCCCCATCTTTCTCCTGTGGAAGGGCTGGTGGTTTGAACAGCTAATCTTTTTTTTTTTTTTTTTTTTGGTAATTAAATATAACATTTTTCTTTAAATTTTGTCATTTTTGAGAATAAATACAGCAAAAATACACTAATTCAACCATTTCTACATGTGTAATTCAGTGACATTGATTACATTCTCTGAGTTGTGTGTACGTTCTCATCCTCCCTTTCTGAGTAATTCCTCTTCCATTCACATAAACTCACTGCCTCCTAAAGTTCCTATCTACTTCTAGGTTGCTCTTGTCAACTATCCCATGTTCATAGTTCTTAAAAGAATATAATGCTCAGCTGTTACATTGTGAGAAATGGTAGTCAGTGTCATGAAACAAACTGTGTATGAACTGCTACAGGGAAAAATGAATTTGCTCTGTAAACTTTCACCCAAATCACAATAAAAATAAAAAATAAAAAAAAAGCATAATGCTCAAGGCAGAGAGAGATATATGTTTTTGCTAGTTACCCTCTACCATGGAGTCTATTCTAACTCCCATTGTGTTTCTGAGACTGTAAATCTTCACAGAAGTAGATCACCCCATCTTCCTTCCATGGAACGGCTGGTAGGTTTGAACTGCTGAGCTTCTGGTTAGCAGCAAATGCCTTATCCACTGCGCCAAAAGAACTCCTTTTTTATAGACACTATACATTAAAATTTATTTTTTACACTAAAGATTTCTGTGACTTCCACAGAAATCACTTGTTATTTAAAAACAGATATTCCTTCACCTGTTTCACTTTCCTTCTTTCTATGATGAGTTCTACCTTTCTTATTTTAACATTACCCACTGTTTCAAAATAGAAGAATGTTGGCACTGAGATTTCATCAGACTTGTCTTGTTCTTGATCAATTCTAATTCTTTTTTTGAAATTTCATTTCCTAATTTCTTTTCTCACTTTTTCCTTTGTACTGACTAAACCAGTTGTTTTTACTGATGCATTAGGTCTTCTATTTCCTTTTCTACGTTGTTCTAATGACTTTTGTACTGGTATCTTTGGAATTGCCATAAAATAAATTATTTCTTTCCTTCTTCAATACCTTTTATATGTAAACTATAACTCACTTCAGTATGAGACATATCATCATAACTCCATTTTAGAAACAGTGATTCACTGGAATGAAAACATCTGATTGGAGTCCTACTAATTATGAAGGATTTTAGGCAAGTCACTTCATTTTTTTAGGGCTTCACCATTAAAATGTGAGAGGTATACTCAGAGACACCAAAACCCTTTCCAGACTTTAACATTCTCTGACTGTGAATATGTAGTTCCCCACCCCCCCTAAATAATGGTTTCCATTGATCTCCATACAGAATCCAGTAATATATAGGCAGCTTTAGACTTTATCTGCCCTTGCATAAATTGTACAAGTAGTGGTTTATCACAAGTAATTTATATTTTCATATATTTAAACCTCTCTTTATTCAAATTGTAGGACTATTATTTCACTGCCTTGGTATATTTTTCTTGTTCCTTTTATGTTTACTTGGCATTGAGCTAGTTTTTAAATATTATTATTGTCAACCTATATACATTCTCAGTATCGTGAACTTCACTATTTTTACCAGAAACTGGGGTAATGTTGGGATCAATATTTTTCTGTAATCCATATTGAAAAATAATGGGATTCTCCATTTTCCTCTTTTAAGAAAAAAACCTCTTAATATTTTTTCTATTATTGAAATTCTAATTGATTCTATTTTTTATATAACTTGCTGAATACTCATGAATCACTGTCAATTTTTCTAAATTGAATTGTTGTTATTAGGCATCACTGTGAGTTGATTCCGAGTCATAGAAATCCCATGTCACAGAGTAGAGCTGCCCCATATGGTTTACTTGACTGCAATCTTTTCAGATCACCATGTCTTCCCCTTGAGGAGCCACTGGGTAGATTTAAACCACCAGTATTTCAGGTAGCACTTTGTACCACCAGGGCTTCAAATTGATTTAAACTGTTATTATAGCCTGAGATCTTTTCAATACCTTCTGAAACCCTTTCCTCAAAAATACCAGGTTGTAGGCTCTTTTCTTTGAAATGTTGTTGTTAGGTGCCATAGAGTCGTCTCCAACTCATAGCAACCTCATATACAGCAGAATGAAACACTGCTTAGTCCTCGGCCAACCCCATGATCCTTGTAATACCTGAGCCTATCGTTGCAGCTGCTGTGTCAATCCATCTCATTGAGGGCCTTCCCCTTTTTCGTTGGCCCTCCACTTTGCCAAGCATGATATCCTTTTCCAGGGAATGAGTGGCCCCTTCTTACAACATGACCAAAGTAAGTAAGATAAAGTTTGGCCATTCTCGCTTCCAAGGAGCATTCCGGCTACACTTCTTCCATGAAAGATTTGTTAGTTCTTTTAGCAGTCCATGGTACTTTTATCATTCTTCGCCGACACCACAACTCAAAAGCATCAACTCTTCTTTGAAACACTGCAACTTTCATTTTATAAATTTTTAATTTTATTTATTTATTCATTCATTCAGTTCTACACAGATTCCATTATTTTTATTATTTTATTTCACCTTTGGATTTAGTTCTGTGGTCTACCTCTTTTAATTGGCACAGGATCAGACAGTGTTTAGTTCTATTGTACTTAGGGTCGCTATGAGCTGGCATTAACTCAATAGCCCCTAACAACAACAAAAATTATTATTCCTATTTCAAATGTTCAATTTCATATGACATTCTTTAGGTCTTTTCAGCTTTATCCCCTATCCTAAGATACAATTGAACTCCTTTCCTTCCAGCATCCTTCTGATAGTGGATAAGAATAGCTCACCTTAGACAGCAGCACTCTTTAAAGGTCAATATGCATAAAAATCACCCAAGGAAACTGTTAAAATACAGATTGGGATTCAGTGTATCTTGAGTCTGAAGTCTGCATTTCCAACAAACTCCCAGGTGTTGCAGCTGCTGCTGCTACTGGGATTACATTTTGAATAGCAAGGACCTAAGGTTTTTTCTTTCACGTGTTTTACATTAAGTTGTACTTTCTCCATGAGTTTGTAATTTTTAACTTAACCTTTTATTGTTTCCCTGGAAGTGTTTGATTTGTACAATACTTAATAATTCATAAAGCATTTTAACTTAGATTATTTTGTTCCACAGGCAGAACCACCTTGGGTTGTAACATGAGCATTACTACATGGGGGCATAGGGTCCTGAAGTTTAAGATTGTGCTGATTCATCGGAAGCCACAGAGTTAGGAAGGACCAGAAAGAAGATTCCAAACCTTGATGCTTTCCACTACCTCATATACAAATTCTGTGTTGCTGTTCTTCTCTTACATATCTGCTGCTAGAGAGAATCAGACTTCCTCTCTAGCAGATCTCTGTATTTTAAGAATAGTGTACGTTGCTAGAACAGAAATCCATTCAAACTACTTTAAGCCAAAAAATTGTTGAGGAAAGGGGAAAGGGGAAATTACTGGTTCACACCACTGGGAAGTTCAAGAATGGAGCTGACTTCAGTCATGACAGAAATTTTGGAAACAAATAATTTTGGATGTCTGTCATTCTTCCTCTTCTTTGCCTCCTCATCCTGTTTCTCCTTCTCCTTTGGTTCTATTCCTTGCTCTTACCTTTTCTCTGCTGACATTACTCCTATTTCAGATGTAAAAAGAGCTATTCTCTCCCATCTGTGCAATTACCTGGATTCTAATTAATCACGTTACCATTCTGAGGTGATCACTATTGCCAGGATACAGGATTCATGTCTGGGCCTTTAAAGGGCCAATTCATGTGGTCAGGGGAGGTGGGGTAAGATAATTGGCAGCCTATATAGTACCACACTCTGTATAGGTACACCCTGGTGGCATAGTGCCTAAGGCATTTGACTGCTAACCAGAAGGCTGATGGTTCAAACTCACCAGTCACTCCTCAAAAGGAAGGTTGGGCAGTCTACTTCCATAGTGATAACACCTCAGAAACCCAAGGAGGGGTTGCTGTAAGTCAGATCCCACTTGACAGCAGTGAGTGGTTGTTTTTTTGTTTTGTTTTGTTTTGGTTTTGGTATAGTACCACATAGAGTAGGGGATGCATACCTCCCCCCCCCCCCAGAAGGATGTAGAAAGGATGTAGGATGTACTGGCAAAGAAATCAATACATATCTGCTCTGTTTTACCTCTTGGTTTTCCAGCACACATATACACAAATATGTAGATCCAAAATCTCCCTTTCTTAACCTAATACCATTGCTGTACAATTTAACCTCTCCCAAAGGAAAATACTAAATAATTGGTTCAAATACTACATTGAGCACGAGGGTTCAGATCTCTGTAGTATTCTCAATCAGGTTTAGAAATAACACCTCAAGATTATATACAAATGGAGCTAAATGATAGTTTTGCCTACTCCCAATATCTGATAAAAGAAAAACATATAATCACATTTTCTCCTTTAAAAAGTAGAAGCACCATACACTATTCAACAGTCAAGAGCATAAGACATTCTGCTGGACAGATGGGAGAGCAGGGACTGAAATAGCATAAGTTCCTTGGTCAACAAAAAGTGTTTTTCCCTAGTCCCTGTTCTTAGGAAAGCCTTTCTTGTCCAGTGCCCTTCATGGACATAATTGAGAAGGCTACCAATGCCTACTCTTCTGGTCTCTTTCTTTAGAAAAAAAAAAAAAAAACGATTACCTTCTGATCAGTTCTGTTTCATGGTGATCCCATGTGTGTCAGACTAGAACTGTGCTCCATAGGATTTTGAATGCTGAATTCTTAGAGGTAGATTTCTAAGCCTTTCTTGTGAGGTGCTTCTAGGTATACCCAAACTGCCAGTCTTCTGATTAGTAGCCAAGTGTATTAACCATTTACACCACCCAGGGACCCTGTCTCTTACTTTAAGTACCCGCATTCTGTTAGCAGAAGGCTGGCGATTCAGACTCACCAGTCACTCCTCAGAAGGAAGGTTGAGCAATCTACTTCTGTAGTGATACCACGTCGGAAACCCAAGGAGGGGTCGCTGTGAGTTGGATCAGACTCCAGGGCAGTGTGTTGCATTGCATTTGTAGTGTTTCCTTTAGTGATTGAGCAGTTGCAGGACTTTTAGGCTTAAACTCACTTAAAACTTATCTTCCTTCAAACTTTAGTTAACTGCCAGTACAGTAGGCTCCTGGAAACTCTGTTAGCTAGTAGCTAACAACAGAAATGTTATCAAGAACCTTGTCTCAGCCATTGATAATACTGTCTTCATAAAAGGAGACAGAGTTCAGCAAGTCTCTATATTTTGATTGCCTTGGAGCACAATAAAATGCTAACCTGTGGTGACAAAGCTGAATTCATCTACTTCCTGATCCAGACTATATCACAGTCTTTATCATGAGGGCATTATTACCTTTGATATTTGGAAGGTATCTGGGGAATCAGGCTTCTATCATTTCTTTAGCTTCCCGTGAATCTTACTTTTTCCAACTTCCCAATTCTTTGCTATGACCTGAATTAACTTTAGCTTGAGACATAAAGTCCAACTTTTGCAATTCTGATCACTCAGACCTCAAAAATTCTCATATTCCTGGGTACAGGTTGAAAGAATTGTCTTCAAAACTCAAAAAAAAAAAAAACCTCACTGCCATCAAGTCAGATCTGACTCATAGTGACCTCTCCTTGTTTCTGAGACTATATCACTATGGAAGTAGATTGCCCATACTTCCTTCTAAGGGGAGGGGCTGGTGGGTTTGAACTGCCAGCCTTCTGGTTAACAGTCAAATGCCATAGGCACTATGCCACCAGAGCTCCCAGAATTGTCTTATTGTTGTTGTTGTTGTGTGCCATTGAGTTGGACCCAACTCATAACGCCCTCCTTGGGTTTCCGAGGCAGTATCACTATGGAAGTAGATTGCCTCATCTTCCTTGCAAGGAGTGGCTGGTGGGTTTGAACCACCAGGCTTCTGGTTAGCAGTCAAGGGCCTTAGGCACCAGAGCTCCTAGAATTGTCTTAGCATCATTTATATGTTCTTGCTTTTATGCTTTCAGATAGGTCCTTACCAAAAATTGAAGAAAGTAGGCAATACAACTTATTCCTGAACTTTTAAAACTAGTTCCTATAGCATGGGGTCACCATGAGTTGTAATTGACATTACAGCAATGGGTTTGGTTTAATGCCTGTAGTCTGTGAATCAAGATACAATAATTGACAATTTGTCAGTTACTTGTCTACCAACTATAAAAGGCTGCCACTTCTCAGCTCTGGGTTAAAGAGTTGTCATTGTCCCAGCTCTTCTTCTTCCTCATCTAAAAAAATATTTTAGTGTGTCACTTGCTACATTCTACCCCTCTTAAAATCTGTAAGGCAGAAGTTCAATAAGGGAAATTCAGAAACACCATAGCTTTTATCAAGTTCCTTTTGTTTTGTTGTTGGTATTCTTTTTGTTTGTTTTGCTATTCATTCATATTTGTAAATGTTCATTCTTGTGTTTCAGAGAAGGTTGTAGCTTCTAAAGTGTTAATCAGTTTTCTTTCCCAATGAGTCACCTTGTCCCAAGGGTTTTTTTAGTAGACATCTTATTATATCTATTTCTATAGATTGTACCGGCAAATAAATATTGTATTTAGAACCAAAATGCCCAAATTCAAGTCTCATTTTCATAACCAAATGACTTTGGACAATCCTAGAGAAATTATTTCGTGTCTTAATCTCTTTATCTAAAAATGGTCTAATAATACATTTTATGCCTTTCTTGTGAGCCTAATATAAAGATTCTGCATTTGCTTGGACACATCTCCACTCTATTATATCTTTTCTCCATTCATTCTTAGTCTTGGAAGCTGGCCCAGCTTTTTCTTCCTCACTTTTATTATGACATACCCTTGGGCAGATTGTAGAGATATACCTCTTTTCATCGCTAAGGTTACAATTTCCTTTCTACAAGGGACAGTGATTTGGCCTGGTTCTCTTAACACTGAAAACATTTGTGTTTCTCAAGCATGTTTTTTCTGTCCCTTTTCTTCCCTCTGGTTTTAAACAAAAAGTATTTGGCAAGTAGTTAACCCATTTAGTTCTTATCAGAGCTCTGTTTAACCTTTCAAGTCCCTGATGCTAGTCCCAGTCCCATATGCAACTTTTACTGGAACATATTTTTAAGTCAGATTACAATATCTTCTTTATCCATAGCATTTGTATCTTGGCTTGCTGAGTGGTCTAAGAACAAAAATTTTCCAACATCTCTCATTCTTTTTTCTCTTGAAACACTTCCCAGAATAAATCCTGCCTCTTAGTGAAAGGAAAGTTCTTGGACAAGAATCCAGGTCTTAGAACTTCTGGACTAGATTTCTTACTTATTCAAATCTGTCAGTTGATTATGTTTAAATATAAGTGAGAACTAAAGCCTTAATGAGTTGAGAAAGATTTTTGGGTGCTCAGAAAACAATAACTAAGTTCGTGGAGGTACATACTTTTAAAAAATCTAAAGATTTTGTGACTAATCAGATTACCTCTATAGCAAAATATACAATAAGTTATGGCCAAGGGAGTAATATTTTCCTTTGAGGTAGGGGTTCCTAGAGGCTCCAACAAGATAACAGGAAACATTTGAGTGAACTATCTAGTCAGTCTGTCCTGGCACTAACTTTTTATTTGCCTTGAGTTGTAGGAGGAACAGACACCTCTACATATTGCTTCCCGCCTGGGTAAGACAGAAATTGTCCAGCTACTTCTACAACATATGGCTCATCCAGATGCAGCCACTACAAATGGGTACACACCACTGCACATCTCTGCCAGGGAGGGCCAGGTAGATGTGGCATCAGTTCTCTTGGAAGCAGGAGCAGCCCACTCCTTAGCTACCAAGGTAAGAAATATGACATCACGACTATGTGGACCAAAATTTCCCTATGCCAGGGCCCTTCTGCTTGATTACACTAGTATCAAGAAGAGTAGGTTTTCATTAGGCCTCTGACTTACTTCTTTCTCTTTGAATATTTTAGATTCATGGTCTAAATGATCAAGGATTCCATACCATATCTCCAGAAAAAAGTACTGCATTTCGTTCTGCTAAATAATGTCAGTGTCATTTCTAGCACATGTATCCAGTACTTAAAACCAAAATGAATTTCCTAAGGCAAGATCTACTTTCTCTTTGCTTTCCTTTATAAAATCTATCATATATTCCCAAGAATGGGGGGAAAAGAAGATTCTCAAATACAATGGAGTCACTGGAGTGACATTTCTGAAAGAGGAAGAGAATGTTGCCTTAAGTTGGCAAACTTATTCACTTAGAGCTGTAGTCCTGTCTAGAAGTCCACCTTAATTAACTTTACCTTTTCCCAACATTGGTATCAGCCATCATCTACTTGGCATTTTTGTTCCCATTCTGATATCTAATCTTTACAGCTACACTTACGCCTGAGTTTTACACTGTTTTAACAGAGCTGGGCTGGAGAATCACACTTTTTTAGTTGTTGTTGTCATCTAAACAGAATATATCCCAGCCTCCATTTTACATGTTTTAAGTTTCATAATGGAGCAGAGTAATTTGAAATTTGTTATTTGGAGGTGGCTTATAAAACATGAGCCCACTCAGTTCGTTGGAGCAAAAGAAATTCAGCTAGTTCAAAAAGGTCAGAAAAATAAGATAAGTTAAAGCATAGAACTAGTGAATTTGTTGAAGGACAAAACAGTTCTCAGAAAAACAATAGTGATTTGGATTCATAGAAAGAGTTTCGATTTGCTCATCATAAATAGGCATAATTACTGAATTCAAGGGAGGAGGACATTTGAAAATATGATCTAAGCTAGCATGTTTCAATCTAGCTATTATGGCTTATCTGATTGCCTATGTATGTAAAATAAAAGTTTGATATTAACATTCATAATTATTTAAATTCTAAAAATCTGAACATTTTAAGACATTTTTAAAAAATCAAAAACTAAATAATAAAAATATTATAGTAAAAAGTAATCAAGAGAAGCTTTCCACAATGGGTCTCTCCTCATCCAGAGCAAAAAAGAATGAAGAAAACCAGACACATGGAAACAATTAGTCCAAGTAACTGGTACACCATATATCCGTAGCCTATATGACTATGAGACCAGAAGAACTAGATGGTGCCCAGCTACCACTGTCAACCACTCAGAGACGGATCTCTGTAGGAGATCCTGGATAGAGTGGGAGAACAATGTGGAACAAAACTCAAAATCTTAAAAAAAAAAAAAATGGACTGGGTTTGCTGGTCAGCTACAGCCTGGTGAAACCCCTGAGACTATGGCCCCTAGCTGCCCTTCAGGTCTGGAATTGAACCCACTCCTGTGGCTTCCAGCCAAACAAAAGACAGGCATATGAGCTGAATATTTACATTAGGTGATACACTCCTTGGAGAGATCAATCATCGGAGACTAGAAGGGCTGTGTATGCACAGGGAGACAGCTTGTGGGACAGGAGTACATGAGAAAGAAGGACACAGGGAAGAGGTGGCTATGGGGAGAAAGTGGGAGGAGAGCTGTTGCATTGTGGGAGATTACAGTCAATGTCATGAGACAAAGGGTATGTAAGATGAATTTGCTCTGTAAACTTTCACCCAAATCACAATAAATTTTTAAAAAGAGAGAGAGAGAGAGATGCTGTCCAACTTTTATTTTGTGATTCTATAGTAAAGATTCTATGTAGTTTTGACTAATAAGAGTCTCCATATCTATCAATCAAGGCAATAAATTAAAAAAAGATTCAGAAATAGAGAATAAAACATAATCTCTTGTCTTCCAAAGATTTTTAGGATTTAAAAATTATATCTAAAGCCATAGTAAATTAGGACAATAAAATACAGGAAAGATATTAAGCAGGGATGTTTTAGAGTAGAACTGACAAGAGTTCTGAACAGTAGTTGACTCATGATCATTAAAGCTATTTAAGTGTTTATAAATGTCAGAGGCTAAATGAAGTGCTGAGATTATCATAGGGGAAGGAGGGTAATGTGTGACTCAAGACATGCTTGCCAACCTCTATTTTGTGATTCTACACTGAAGATTCTGTGTAGTTTTGACTAATAAGAATTTCTAAATGTGTAAAGCAGTTGGATCACTATTCAGGAGAACTTTTAGGAGAAGGAGTTTATTTTTTCTTCCTCAGCATGTGCTTTGTCTCAAAGAACTCTACTTCATCCCAGGTGTGACCCCAAATGTGTGCTTTTGGTGAGGGAGAGATAGCTGTAACAAGTGTTGGTTGATAAGGACTAAAACAAGAAGGAGATACTAAGAAATACTTCCTACATTTATCCCACACTTGGAAAAAAAAAAAAAACTGAAATATTCATTCTCCTCCAAGGACTTATTAGTACCAAATGTTCAAAAATAAGCAAAAAAGAAAAACAGCATCTCAGTTAAAAATTGTCTGATGGCATTTTAATACAGGTAACATTGCTTCCTGGGGAATACTCTATATTTGTAACGCATGCTGAGGACAAGCCATACATTATAGCACTTTCCAGGCCTATTTGTTAAGTGTATTTACAGGCCCTGGTCAGCTCTAAAATTCTCCCACTGTGGTGCCAGAAGAGCATGTGGTTTAACTGTCTGGCCAAGAGGAGAGAGTTGAAATCATGCCAGCCTCTAGATCTGAGTCCATGGATTTATTTGTATTTGCGACATAATAGCTAGTTAGACAGTTGGTTATTTGTTACATACAGAAGACATTGAATGCATACATGGAAACATGTGTAGGAAAGTAGTTTTTTCAAAACACTTTAAAGCGTTAGTGTATTTAAAAGTCTGGTGTTAATCAGCTGAGCATCATACTAGAAGTACAATGTATTTTACCAAACGAATTGGTGTTTATAGTGTGGGTCACCTGGGAAAGGGGACAACAGCCAGGCTAGAGAGTGCTTTCTAATGGAAGCATTTTTTGTTCTGTAGACTACTTACCTTGCTATTTCTGCAGAAAATACAAATCAACTAAATGGTGGACTTTTTTTTTAAGCTGTGGCTGTCAAAATATCTTAAAATTTAAATGAACAAATTCTGAAATCAGGTGTAATAAAAAGGATGAAAGATTAGAGAGAAAGCAGCTATTGTCTCAATTGTACTAATTTAAGAGGCAAGAAAAAGACAAGTGTTTTTTTTTTCCCCCCCTTTCCACTCACAGATCAGAGCCCAGTTTACTTACATCAGAGGCTTTTATAAATTCCAGACCTATAAAGTCAAGTTTCAGTCTCCAGCTCCTTCAAAATGAAATTTCTTTTGTTCAGTCTATCAAGCCAGACTCTTGTATGTTAAGTTTCATTCTTTATCCAGTACTTTGTTTATGGTTAACAGGTTTAATGCCCTTAGTTTTTTCTCATATGGAGAATCAATGTAGTTAATTTAATATGTTAAATAAAAACTTTTTTTTTAGGTAGTAGTGAAAATAAGTACTAATTTTACTTATACTCTTTATATTTTTTTAGAAAGGTTTTACTCCACTGCATGTAGCAGCTAAGTATGGAAGCCTGGATGTGGCAAAACTTCTCTTGCAACGCCGTGCTGCTGCAGATTCTGCAGGGAAGGTAAAAATTCTGTAATACATTTCAGTTACTTAAGTCTATGGAGTTTGAAAAGTTGGAGATCTGTATTTAATGATATTTTTCTCACTCTTTTAAAGGGGTTATGAGTACAACTGATGAAACTATGCCAAATTAACATGGGGAGATAGCCGTTCATGCTTAGTCCATGTACACACAGATTCAGAGACGTTAAGGCTGCCTGGAGCCTTTTTCTTGTCAGAATAGGGCCCAGAACTTCTCTCAGTGCAGTGTAATGTCAAAATTTTTACATAGCATTTTAGATCTTTATTTATGGTGAACATCAGTTGCCATTCTTGACTACTACAAGATGGATTTTGCTAACTAATTGTAAACTCAACCAGTCATTTCCAGTTTTAGCTGAAGTGTTAATATAAAAATTATTAGGCATTGGTTTATTTTCATTCTTTTTTTGTCTATTGACTATATTAATTAGTTAATTTATTAACACGGATTTAATCAATTTCAGTTTCCAGGCATCCTGGTAGCTTTAGGGCAGCTAGCACTAATTTATTAATGCTGAAACTTAAACACACCCTTTACAGAATGGCCTTACCCCGCTCCATGTTGCTGCTCATTATGACAACCAGAAGGTGGCGCTGCTGTTACTGGAGAAGGGTGCTTCCCCTCATGCAACTGCCAAGGTGATTTGGTTTGGTTGATTACCTCTTGTGTTTTGTTAAAACACATCTCTACCTTCCTCCACTTCTTTATTTAGCCTTGGTAGAGTTTTACTACAAGAATGAGTGTAGATTAGGGCTGGAGAAAACACATTGTACAAAAATGTATGCACCTCTCTATTTCAAGTTTAATAATGATTGAGAGCCCCTGGAGCACCTGGGGCCTATGATCAGTATCCAAGGATTGCTGCTGGATTTCCTTTATTAAGAGAGTTAAAGTGAAATATCATTTGTCTCAGATGAAAGATGTTCATGTTTGTTTGGAGAAATTTAGATGGAGTAGATAGGTAAGTTAGATGTATAGACTAATGTAAGGTCATTTGAGGATCAAGATTTCATGATGGCATATAATGACATTCAACAGCTTAAAACTGCTTTTTATTTCTTGGCACACTTTGCAGTTAGATTTAATGAAATTGTGTGACATCAAGATACCTTTCCCACAAAGCACTTGATCATTATGCTGTCTTTCACTTCAGCATGCCACAGTGAGTGACAAAAGTATTCTTTTTAGTTTTTGTTACATATTTTTCATAGGAAATTCTGCAAGATTTTGTAAAGAAAAGAAAATATAGGTTCCAGAGTTATATTTGTTTCAGAGTTTTTTCCTTTACTTTTTTTTTTTTCCTCTTCATTAAATATGGCGTTTAAGATTTGGCTCGTACAAATAAACTGTGAGGTCCCCCGGTCCTCTCCATAAACTCCCATGTAAAATGTTGTTGTTGTTGTTATGTGCCGTCAAGTCAGACCCAACTCACAGCGTACCCCTCCTTGGGTTTCCGAGGCAGTATCACTACAGAAGTAGATTGTCCAACCTTCTTCCAAGGAGTGGCTGGTAGGTTTAAACCACCAGACTTCTGGTTAGCAGTCAAGTGCCTTAGGCTAGCAGCCTCATCTTTTTATTTTTGAGGTAGCAGGTTGTAGATAGGAGGGTGAGATCTGAGACTTGAATTGCACAAAGATTAACATGAGCCAATTTTGTTGCTGAGTATGTCTTCTAATAGAATATAGCCTCTTAATGTCAGGAATTGTGTGTGATTAGTTCACCTTGTATCTCCATACTTAGTACACTACCCTGTGTATGTAGGTACTCAGTAAATATTTGCTGAATGAGTAAAAAGTATTAATGTAATCAGAAACATATCAATGGGAGTATTGTAACACGGTCATGGAAGAAATAATGCATTTTATTCTGTACCATTACACCATAGCTAAAGAAGAGCATTCAGTTGTAGGTAGTACAATTAAAATCAAACATATGAACAAAAACCAAGCCCACTGGTGTCGAGTCGGATCTGACTCATAGTGACCCCTCCTTGGGTTTCTGAGGCGGTATCTCTACAGAAATAGATCACCCCATCTTCCTTCCAAGGAGTAGCTGGTGGATTTGAATCACCAGCCTTCTGGTTAGCAGTCAAATGCCTTAGGTACTATGCCACCAGAGCTCCTAAATTAGACATATAGACTAATGAGGCCAAAGCAAGTCACCTTAATGTTGAGAAGACTAGAGATGGTGTGGCTAGAAGAAACCACGGGGAAATTTAACCTGGGAAAGAAAAAATTATACAAAAAGTATCTGAAAGTATTTCAAAGTTGGTTATGTAGAAGAGGAACTTAATTTTATGTTGCTCTTCCTGAAAGAACCAATATTATAAGGGCACTTTCAGCTCTGGGGCACTGTGTACATATACCTGGCTTACAATAGATTGAGATGCCTTGTGGCATTGATTGAAAAGACTTGGATGTTGTTGGGTGGAATCTTTGATGGGTAACAGTTTGGATTAACCACAACCTTATCTTTACCTTTTGTTTAGATTAGGGATTCTTATGTCTTTCACAGGTATATATTGGAACAATTGCTAAGCTTACAATGTGTTTGTATTTTTATTTATTTGTTTATTTTAGAATGGCTACACTCCTTTACATATTGCTGCCAAGAAGAATCAAATGCAGATAGCTTCCACCCTCCTGAACTATGGAGCAGAAACTAACATCGTGACCAAACAAGGAGTAACTCCACTTCATCTGGCCTCGCAGGAGGGGCATACGGATATGGTCACATTGCTTCTGGATAAAGGAGCCAATATCCACATGTCAACCAAGGTGCTCTGTTCTTGTCTATTATTCAAAAGTCTTTTGGACAAATGTAAACAGAATCCAATTAAAGATAACTTGCAACAAAAAGGGAGGCGGTATTAAAAGGAAACAGGGTATCTTCTAGAATCCGAGGATAGGAAAGGAATCACACCTTATGAGGAGTGGAAAACCATAAAGAAGCCAGGGAACCATCCCCAGAGATTCTGTGCTTGTGTCATTACTGTTCTGGTTCCCTGGTGCCGCTCTGACAAGAATATACTGCAAATGGGATGGCCTTAACAAACAGGAGTTTATTCTCTCACAAATTGGGGGCTTTAAGTCCATGTTCAAAGTGCCAGGCTCTAGGGGCTGAGTGAAAGCCCCTCAACCTTGAGGTCCAGCTCTGCCTCCTGCTCCCGGCCCACTGGAGCTAGAGGCATTTCTTCACTCAGACAGCTGCTGGCTGCTGAGGCTGAGAAGCCCCAAGGTTGCCAAGGAAAAAGGCACAGCCCTGATGTTACCAAACCACATGGCAGACCATTAACTTAAGGCCATTTTAAGTCCCAAGGTCGGCAGAGCATAGCAGGCTGCTGAGCAATGACATAGCAGGCTGCTGAGCAACGACATGCTGGGTCCAAGTGTGCCACAGGCTAGAGACCATTCTCAAGACTTCTCCTTAAATACAGGAAGCAGACCACAGCCCAAAAGTAGCTACTCAGCTGCTTGTGGTAGATCCCACCGTGGAGTTGATTGCCAGTCTCATCATGGGGAATAACTACCACTAGCTGCCCAGCTACGCAACCAGGCCCAGCCAAGTTGACATACAAACATAACCATCACAACTACATTTTGATTTTTCTATGTCAGTTTCATTCAATTTTCTCTGTATATTTTCTTTCTCTGCTTCTCTGTGCATGGGGCAGAAGAGACTGAATAGCTCCTAATAGTTAATATTACTGTGGTTTAAGTAGTCAGCCCAGATTGCCTTACTACCTGCTAATCTTAATTCCAAATTCCAGAGAGAGAGATGAGGTGCTGTTTGGAATTAGGTCCAATCTAAACTGGCAGGATCATGTCTGCCACCCTGGTCATTCTTGAGCCAACTTCAGGCCTACATAATCATAATCTTCTAGTTTGGTCACGGGGAGAGAAGGGTAGAGAGCATGTGTTCTTAATTTGACTTCAGTCATTTCAGCCTTTTTATAGAGATTAGTCTTTTGAGGACCACCATAACTATGATCCAACTCATGATGGAATAGCAGGGAGATAGTGAAAAAACATATTATTTAACTATGTGAATATGCTGATTTTCACAGGCATATCTCTATCTTTATCTCCTCAGTGGAGCCAATTGCTGAGAAACTAAAAAATTGAAGACCTTGTTTATAAGTTAATTCATTATTCAGATCTCTTGATGTTTTTGTAGTACATGGCATACAATTAGTAAAAATTAAATTTCTTAATATTTGCCACAAATATACAACTACTATATATGCTCACTGTTGAGTTAATCAGTGCTTTTGGAAAGAATCTGTTGCAAATTGATTTTAATAACATTTGTAAATAGATTAGGTAACATGTATCCTTCAGAAAGTTCTATAAATTAGGCAGGTTGTCTTGAGTGCCTCCGGAGTTCTGCTTTGTCTTTATCACCCAGAGGTGTTCCAGTAACTTTCTTGCCTTATGCACTTCTCTGTCCTCTATCAAAAGTCCTCAAAGAGCCTTTTTAAAAGTGTGGACAGAACTAATTATAGAGTAAATCCTCCAAAAGATGTTTGCATTTAAACAAGAAAGAACACAATGAAGCTTGATGGTGGAATTCAGTGAATCAGCCAGTTAAGAAAGTTTGGGGCATGAATCTCCTTGTGGCCATTGAAATCATGCCATTCTGGTGGTCCTTCAGCCAACTTAGGATATTCTGCCCGTAAACCAGTCATAGGATATTTCATTTAATATCAATATGTGAAGGGGCATGCAAGTGTTAGCTTTCTTTGGAAATAAATAAATCTTCATTTGAAAATAAACAAAAGAAATGCATAAACCAAGCATAATTTTGTATAAGACAAAAATTCTAGACATTTCATGAAGCTCATTTGGCAATGTTTCTAGTGGTGTTATTTTTTTTAATGCATTTTATTGAAATATAATTTGTGTGTAGTGAAATACACAAAACTAAAGTGTCATGGGTTAATGCATTTTTTTTTGTTGTTGTTGTTGTTGCAGTGTTCTCTCCCCTCCTCTCCCACCCCTGGAAACCAACAAAGAAAGTTTCCCTCCATATATAAACCTTTTCTTGACCCTCCACAAAAATGAACTAATACATTTGTTCTTCTGTGATTGATTTATTTTACTCAGCATAATGCCCTCCAAGTTCGTCCATATTATCTGGTGTTTTTCAGACTCTACATTATTCTTTAGTGCTGCATAGCATTTCATTATGTGTACGTACCATAGTTTGGTCATCCGACCTTCCGGTATAAATCTTAAAGAGAAGTCCCTTGCAGATATGTAATTTTCAGCAAATATTAATTTGTTGCTGTCATTCTTGTTATGTGCTTTTTCATGGTGTTGATTTCTTTGTTCCATATAATTTTCTATGCTGACTCGTTTTGTTTATGAATGTGTTATCACTTCCTTTGTTGCTATTGTTTTAGTATTTGCTGAATATTTATGCTGGTCCTCTTTTGTGATGTGAAGGTTTATCATTTTTCTTTGAGGTTACCCTGTGATTTATAGGTTTCTTCCCAAGTTTAGAATAGTCTTTTCTATCTTGTAGTTTTCTTGACTTCCCTACCATCTAGAAGTTCTGTAATGACACAGATTTTTTTCCCTCTTTTTGGTTTGTAGTTGTCCTCATTTGTCTGTTGGTATCTCTGGTTCCCTGTTTACAATATTGTAGGCTTATTTACTTTGGATACTTCTGTAGCTGGGTTGGTGTCTGGGTTATATCATCAGATGTGTTAATGGTCAGTTGTTGTTGGCTATTGTTGCTTCTTTGTCCAAAGGGTTCCCTTTAGCATCTCTTGTAAGGTTGGTCTGGTTTTAACAAATTCCCTTCATTTCTGCTTATCTGGAAATGTCCTCATTTCACCATCATATTTGAGGGACAGTTTTGCTGGGTACATGATTCTTGGTTGGAAATTTTTCTCTTTCAGTGTTTTATATATACCATCCCCTTGTCTTTTCGCCTCCATGGTTTCTGTCGAGAAATCCGAACTTGGTCTTCTTGGTTGCTCCTTGTAGGTAACTTTTCGTTTTTCCCATGCTGCTCTCATGATTCTTTCTTTATCTTTGGTTTTGGTAAGTTTGATGATGATATGTCTGGGTGATTTTCTTTTGGGTTCTGTCCCGTTTGGATATATTCCTGAATGGATATATTCTCATCTTTCATCATACCAGGAAAATTCTCTTCCAACAAATCTTCAACAATTTTCTCTGTGGTTTTATTTGTCTCTTCCTGTTCTGGAATTCCAATTACATGTAGATTATTCCTTTTGATGGTATGCCACATGAACCTTAGGCTTTCTTCATTTTGTTTTGATCTTTTTTCTGATTTATCCCTTTCCAAAAAAGTGTTCAGGTATTTGCCTTCAATCTCCCTAATTCTCTCTTCCATTGATTCATTTCTGCTCCTTTGCCCATTCAATGTCTTATCTATTTCTGAAAATTTATTATTAATCTTCTGGATTTCTACGTGTAGATTTTGTATCATTTCTAATTTTTCATTTATTTTGTCATTTTGTTCTTATATTTTCTTTTGAAATTTTCCTAGTGTTTTCCTTGATCTGTCTCTTAATTTGTTGAAGATACCTAAATGTAATTCTTTTGAATTCCTTATCAGGGAGTTCCAATGTTGTGTCTTCTTCAGGGATGTGTTTTGGGTCTGTATCCTGGGCCTTGTTTCTCCTGCTTTATCTTGCTTCTTTGTGTGACCTGTGATGCTCTGTTGTCTCCAAGGCATTATGATGTTTCTGTGTTTATATTTAATGGGTGATTGTATGTTGGAGTGGTTTGCCCATGATTTTCATTTTCTTTGTTTTGTTTGTATGTTATCTATACAAGCAGGGTACTGTGCTCCTGTATTCACTAGCTGATAGCCCTTATACACTCACCACCTGTCTCTTTTCCTGTTGTCAGCCTCTCGTATGTGCCTTCTGATCTTGGCAAACAGAGCCTATTCTTAGGTCCCTGGAATGTGAATGAGAGTGCTATCACTTTAAAATCCAAAATGGTTGCCAATTGTAAAGATTCAAAATAGCTGCGCCCTTGGTCACTTTAAATATCCAAAATGGCTGCTGCTTGTAAACATTCAAGATGGCTGCACCCTTGGTCACTTTAAATGTCTAAAATGGCTGCTACATGTAAACAATCAAAATGGCTGCACCCTACAGACAGAGGAAAGTCAACATCTCAGGTTGTCTCCATCCTTGCTGTTTCCCTTCCTAGTCATAGGCCATCAATACAGTCATCCCTGCAGCCCTTGGTGACCAGGGCTGATCTTTATGTCAGTTCTCAGGTCCCAACACCACTTGGAAATATTCAGCCTGTTTGTCCCATCAGAGCAGCTGACAGTCTGCAGCTCCGACAATCTCTGTACTCACTGTTTTCCTTCAGGTTTTTCCACTAGTTCGTACCTAACCCACTTCTATATAGTTCCTTTCAAAGCTCAGGGCTCCATGATTATTTTCTGTATCTTTGTCAATTGTTTTATCTTTTCTTTGTTGAAGAGGATCTGTGTCACTTGTCTGCCTATTCCTCCTTCTTACCTAGTGGTGTTATTTTTAATTCATAAGAGTACATACATATATTTGTAAAATTTCACCTAAATCACAATAAAAAGTTTAAAAAAAAAATTTAGAATCAGTTCTCGATGTCCTCCCTATTGCTATTCTAAACATATTACTTCCTTTGAAAGAGTTCTAGAACTCAGCAAATATTCAATGAGTATTTTTGACTTTACAAACTCAGCAGTTAGGAAGATACTCAATTTGGATCACAAAGTAATTATCTTATCTTTACAACAATAATTTTACTATTAGATTTGGGAGGTATCCTCAAGACAAAAAGTCAGATATATTTGTCATAAGAGAAAGCTTTAAGAAAATATGTTTAGATATATTTGAAAAATAATACAATATATAGAATTTATATATAAAAATAGAAGTTTGCCTTGGAGAGAGGGGAATGAGAAGATATAATTTAAGGGATATTGAGTTTCTGTTAGTAGTGTTGAGAGCTCTTGGAAATAGAGGTGATGGTTGCAGAATATAATGCATGTAATTAATGTCATATAATTGTCTACTTAAAAATAGTTAAAATGGCAAACTTTTATTAAATGTGTATTTTACCACTATAAAAATTAAAAAGAAAAATTATACACACACACACACACACACATGTATATGTGACCTTCCCTCTAGGTTAGTATTATAATAATTTATGACCTTCCCTCTAGGTTAGTATTATAATAATTTAACTAGAAAAGTATCTTAGGCAAGAAGCAAAACTGGGAGTAAATTTTCTCATTGTGTTTAAAAAGAAAATATGATCACACTCTCCAAATTATTATTTCTCAGTAAGAACGATAATATAGAAACTATATTAATTCCTTATTCAATCACTGTAATAAATAAGTAAAAGCTGTTATAGAGTCCACCAGGAAATAAATTAATTTTAAGAAGACCCCTTCAATGTGTTCTATTTCCTGATTTACTAGAAAGGTTTACAGAATATGATTCTGATATACAAGAATATCATGATAAACTATAGAGGATTTTTACACTGATTGTGAGTTTACAGTCTTACATTTCTAGAAAATCCATTCTGAAAACAGGTTAGAAAACAGCACTTATATTTGAAATATCATTAAAAATGTCTTTGAGATATTTGATTATCTGATGATCACTTTAGTAATATTTAAGCAGACTGTCTCTATAAAGAACAGTATTTATAGGTTTGCTATTTTAATTTGGAAAAAACTAAGATGAAGAAGAGTCTTCTGTTTCATCCTAATATTCAGATTGTTTATATTTTAGGATTATATAATATTTGTCTATAAGTGATGATAAAATATTAATGAGAAAGTATATGTCTTTCACCTTGAGCTGTGTTCACCTAGAGCTGTACAAATTTAAAAACTCAAGGCTTTCAAGTAAAATCCTCCTCTCTAGTATAGAACATTTTTCTCTGTAGCTAAATAATGCATATTTTAAAGGTCAAAACACTTGCCAATGTCTAGAAGTAGCTCCATGGATGGATACTATGATTTTCAACAACATGGCTTAGCTTTCTCAAGCTAACTGCAAATGCAGAACAGCTGTGCTGCAAAGCAGTGGTCAACAGGACTGGTAGGTTTTAATTGGATATAAATTTGGGGAAAGCATCCTACCTCAGATTACAGCTGCAGATTGTACAGGAAGAGGAATACACTAAGTATTTGAGTAATAGAGCGGAAAGAAACATGTTCTATGAAGGGAAATAATTTTTGTTCATTGCTATATTCCAAATCCCTAGGTTACTTTCTGGTATATGAAAAGTACTCAAAAAGTGTCTGTTAAACAAATGAATGGTTTTGTTTTAAAATACTCTTTAAGTTTCAATTTTGCTTGAAGGAAGGTACTTATACTTGTAGTGAGTTTGCAAGGTTGTTGTATTGACTAAATAAGTGCCTTCTTTTCTCTCCTTTCTCCATTCTTTCATCTATTATAAAATTTTAACTGGATATTGAATGAAGTATTTTCTTGATGTATATATGATATTTTACACAGAAGCAAATAAACAAACAGGTTTATTAGGCTATATAAATGATAAGATTACTTTTTATTTACCATCTAGAGAAGCCTACATAATAGTACACTATCTTCGAGTACTGAAGAAAATTATTCCGCACTCATTTCTCATAACACTTTACATTATTTACAATGACATGATATTTTATTGATGAGAATATAGATTATTCCTATGGCTATAAAGTAGAAGTATAGATGAGTGATCAATTATTTAAGTGAATAAATAGATTCAGTAGAAGTCCCAGATGGTTTGAAGAGAATATTGTTGGCTTTTTAGCTGAGTTATTTTAAAGTCTTACATTATAATATCAGTACCCAATATACAGAAAGTTGCTGAGAGTGTTGAATCACTTTTACAGTGTGTCTTATCTGGAAAATCATGTTAACTTAGAGTGCTTGTCTTAAATATCAAAAATTGCAGTTTTTGGAAACAGGCTATGAGTTTTCCAGGACTATTTCAAGACACGATATTACAGATAATGGAATGTATTTCTTCTTCAAATGCATCTCTTTGCTTTCATTCTTTCTGTAGAGTGGACTCACATCCTTACACCTTGCAGCCCAGGAAGATAAAGTAAATGTTGCTGATATACTCACCAAGCATGGGGCTGACCAAGATGCTCATACAAAGGTAAAGCAAATTACTGTCAATATTGTGGCAGGTGCTGACTAAGAGTCTTCCCAGTAGGCTCTACTTATTGTCACCTCAGATCCAAGTCTCACCTCTTGTTTATTCTGTTCTGAAACTTAGCCTAATCATGACCATCTCCTGCTCACATCTGCAGTGGCTCTTCATTTCTTTCACAGTCAAGTCCAAATGGATAGCATGATGTTAGCACCCTCATGAAAAGACTCCAATTTTGCATGCTTAAGTCTAGCTTCCCTTATTCTTTCAGCTAGTCCAGATGACATGCTTTTCCTTCATACACTTGCCCGCTTCTGTGCCCTTGGACCTGAAAGTCCCTTCCCTTCTCTGTGTCATTGAATTCTTACATATACTTCAAGCCCAGCTTAGCTACATCCATCACACATCTTCTCTTGGTTGTCCTATCAGAGTCAGTCTCTCTTTCAGATCATATTGTTTGTGCCTTCCTCTGTTCTTTGTCAGATTAAGTTACAGACATGTCTCATCATGCTTGCTGATTGTCTCATCATGCTTGCTGATATTAAGTTCCTCATGGTTAAAGATCTGCTTATATTCATATTTGTATCGACATAATGCATATATTACATGCCAAATAATATTTGGACTGTCAAATTGAATTTCTACCTATTCTGTCTCCCTCTCCTCTTGAGTGTTAGCCACCAAAATGTTAAAGTTTCTGCCTTATTTATTTGTGTATGAGATTTGTTGTTGTTGTTATTATTACAGCTTGGTTACACTCCTTTAATTGTGGCCTGTCATTATGGAAATGTGAAAATGGTCAACTTTCTTCTGAAGCAGGGAGCAGATGTCAATGCAAAAACCAAGGTAAAATATATGTACTTATTTTCACTTTTTATAAGCAAAATGTTTCAGTTGTCTATATACTTCACCAGCTCATCGTATCTACAAGTTGTGTTTCTATTATTTGTTATTTTGAGTTGTTCTAAAATTATTTCTAAAAAGGGATGAAGTTTTGTAATTATTTGAGACTTCTCATTCCAATAACCCTTGATAGGCAGGAACCTTACCTTCAGACCACTTATATTATAATATTAAAGTAACTGGCTTAGACTTCACAATTTACTGCAGTATACAGGTGCCACTCCTCGGAAGGAAGGTTGGGCAATCCTACTTCCATAGTGATACTGCCTCGGAAACCCAAGGAGGGGTCGCTATGAGTCGGGGCCGACTCGACGGCACATAACAACAACAACAACAATACAGTAGATGCCTGCTTGAATATCTTAATGTTCTGGCAGACTCCCTTTGCATTGTTTCAAGACCTTGGTACCCCATTCCCCTAATATCTGCCCTCCTTGAGGAAATACAGACAGACCATTTAGACTGCATGCCTTTCATTTTTAATGAACTCTGTCACATTGGGAATGTTACATAGTCATACTCAGTGAGATAATAATGTGTAAAGACTGGGCTGGAAGTACTCAAGTATAATGCATAGTTTACTTAATCCCAACTATTTTTCCCAATGGCATCTGAAGGGTCCTATTCTGCAAAGAAAGGTCAGAACATAACGTTGCACTTTAACGCACTCAACTTGGTCCAGAGAGTAAGGGACATATATAATGTAGCTACAGCTAAGATGCATAATGAGTCTCTGGGTGGTGCATATGGCTATTGACTGAAAGGTTGGCAGTTCGAGTCCACCCAGAGGCACTTGAAAGAAAAGCGTGGTGATCTCTTTCTAAAGCAATCAGCTACGAAAAACCCTATGGAACATAGTTCTACTTTGACACATACATAGGGGGTCACCAGGAATTAGAATTGACTTAGGGACAACTGATTTGGTTTACTCTGCATAGTGTAGTGCCTGAGGCACTTGACTGCTAAATAGAAGGCTGGTGGTTCAAACCCATCAGCCACTCTTTGGAAAGAATGTTGGGCAATCTACTTCCATAGTGATACTGCCTTGGAAACCCAAGGAGGGGTCCCTGTGAGTCGGGTCCAACTCGACAGCACATAGCCATCACAACAACATGCATAATATAACTGGGAGTTCAAGGTTAGTTGGTCCAAATAAAGGCATTTATTTCCATGTATGTATTTTTTAAATTTATACATCAGGAATCCCTAATTCCAGCTGTGTGAATGGACTCAAGTAAATTAGTACAAGCAACATTTGGAAGTATTCAAAGTCATTGTTCAAGATGTTACTAAATAGAAGAAATTCTGTAAATTAGTCTTTCTTTGTCCTCTTAAGAGAAGCAGAAACAAAATCATTTGCATACACAATCATATGTATTGTTGTTGTTGTTATGTGCCGTCGAGTCAGCCCTGACTCATAGCGACCCCTCCTTGGGTTTCCGAGGCAGTATCACTACGGGAGTAGGATTGCCCAAACTTCCTTCCGAGGAGTAGCTGGTGGGTTTGAACCGCCAGCCTTCTGGTTAGCAGTCAAGTGCCTTAGCCACTATGCTACCAGAGCTCCCTATCATATGTATTAGCTAATTTAAAATTAAAGTTATTTTCAAACTCTAAATGCTATTAACATTTTTGATTTAAACATCTAATATGACTCTAGAAACAATTACTGCTGCCTAGTTTCTGCACCTGATCGTGATGATGGTGCAGTAACCAGTTCTGTTGTGCTCGAGGTCACTGTGAGTCAGAGGCTGACTTGTTGGCAATTAACAGCAACAACAAAGTTTCTACCCATTTCTTGAATTCTTTTGACATTTATTTTGAGACATTTAAATGCTTTAATATAAATTCCTAGGTATTAGCTCTTAACTCCATTTTTGCTGAGTCGGCTTACACATAATATTTAAGAAAGACATCCTTGTTGGAATCTGACTGCCTTTTTTTCACACCTAACAGGGCGTGAAAAAGCTTACTGTATTTTTTTGTTTGTTAAGTGTTTGATTTTTGAAATTTCTGTAATATTTAAACAAATACAGTAGGCCCTCCATAGCCACAGGTTCCACATCTGTGGATTTAGCCAATGGTAGATTGAAAATCTTCCAGGAAAGTCAAAACAAATAATAATAATAATAATTAAATGGTAAAAGCAAGCCACCAAAGGCTAAGAGGGATGTAAAGTGCTATCTACATAGCATTTCATTGTATTAGGTATTATAAGTAATCTGTTGTTATTGTTATGTGCCGTCGAGTCGGCCCCGACTCATAGCGACCCCTCCTTGGGTTTCCGAGGCAGTATCACTACGGAAGTAGGATTGCCCAACCTTCCTTCCGAGGAGTGGCTGGTGGGTTTGAACCGCCAGCCTTCTGGTTAGCAGTCAAGTGCTTTAGCCACTATGCTACCAGAGCTCCTATAAGTAATCTAGACATAATTAAAAGTATATGGGAGGATTTGTGTAGGTTATATGCAAATACTATGCCATTTTATTTGACTGCTAACCAGAAGGCTGGCAGTTCAAACCTACCAGCCACTCCTCAGAAGAAAGGTTGGGCTATCTACTTCCATAGTGATACCACCTTGTAAACCCAAGAAGGGGTCGCTATGAGTCAAATCTGACTTGACAGCAGTGAGTTTGGTTTGAACATCTTTGGATTTTGATATCCTAGTGGGTCCTGTAACCAATCTTCCATAGAATCAGAGGGATGATATATATTCTGTATATATATATATTAAGGAGCTGTGGTGGCATAATGGGTAAGGCATTTGGCTGCTAACTAGAAGGTCAGTGGTTCAAACCAACCAGCTGCTCCCCAGGAAGATGATGAGGCAATCTACTTCTGTAAATATTTACAGCCTTGGAAACCAAATGGGTGGGGGCGGGTTGCTATGATTCAGAATCGACTTGATGGCAGTGCTTTTTTTTTAGTATGTATCAAGGAATAATATCTGTTCATGAATGGACTCCTGGGATTTCATCCCATTTTAACATTTTAATTTAGTTTTGTTTTTCCCTTAAGTGAATTATGTAGTTTTACCACTGAATTTGGAACCAACATCTTCAGGGGAGTGGGTAAATACATACCTGAAAAGACAATCTTTTAATAAACTCTTCAGAATTTTTTTTACATGGAATGAAAACTAGAGAGAAAGAATTGATTTTTCTCTTCACATCTCATATGTAACCATAGTTACTGAAGAATTGCTTCTTTGCTTTGAAAACTTGAACATTCGTATTGCCTTTGCTCTTCCATATTCATGATTTGATATAAAGCTATGAAAAATTATCTTGTTTTATGGGAATATTAGTTGCTAAAAATTAGAATGAAACTGTCACACTTTATAAACCAGCTTTGGTTAATTATATGTTTAACTGGTGAAGAGGGTTTTGAATTATAGCATGTAAAATGAAATCTTCCTAATAAAATATACTACAAAGATCAAAGAGTTCTTTGTTGAGGAAAAATCTCCCACAATAATATCTGCTATCATCCTCAGCTTTACTGTTTTTTTTTAATGCCATGGACAAGTTATTTGATCTTCACCAAACTTAAAATATCAACCATGACCATTTTACGAATGAGATAAGTGGGAAAGATAGATTTGCTAATAGATGGTGGAAGAACAGGGTCTACAGCTTCTATTCAGGTGGACCTACGTTTGTGAGTTAAACTTCAACCAAAGTGTTTATGTAGATGCTATTGAAATGCTTCAGATTTTCTGGGTAAATATTCTCATATATCAGAAGCTTTGTATATAGGTTAGATTAAATTAGGGCTCAGGGTCATTTAAAAGCCCTGATGGCACAGGGTTAAGTGCTTGGCTATTAACCAAAGGAAAGACGTGGCATTCTGCTTATTTAGCCTTTACTGTGAGATAGTTCTACTCTGTCCAATAGGGTTCCTATAGGGTTGCTGAGTCTAACTAAACTCCATAGCAATGTTTTTTTTGTTTTTTTGTTTGCTTGTTTGTTTTAGGGAAAAGGTGGTCATTTTCTTGGCTAAAATGTCCATTGAAGTCGTAGTAAACTGTGATCTATTGAAGACAAGAATGTTACTTTGACATCATTAATTTATATAAGCACAATGCCTACTATTTAGCACATAGCATGTGGTTAGTAAATGCTTGCTGAGAGGATTAACTTGGCTGATACTGAAAATGTGAATTAAATATGGGTGGTAGAATATTGTAAACACAGTAGAAAGGAAGAACAGTCAAGTAAAGAAATGTCGCTTTGTTCTCTATGGACAAGAGACTTAACTGATCTGAGAGCAGAGTCCCTGCAATAGCTGTTTCTCAGGGTCTCCATAACTGATTTATATTTTCATGTTTCCCAAGGTCATTCCACTATAGGGAATTGTAGCAGACAGAAGACTTCCAGTATGACAGAAGTGTGGGTGTGCCACAGATTAAGGGACACTTAGACAGATAGGCTTTCACACCTATGGATCTCTTTCTGTGAAATAAAATAAACAATAAAATAAATAAGTGAAAGTAGAGACTCACGTAGCATTCTGTTCATATATGCAGATGTCTCATGTGGCCAGGACAAGAAAATATACATATAGGCCATATACATATGGGCAGTGATAATGGATAAAAGGGATATAAGGCAGATTTGAGTCCACCCCTAGCTGCCTCGGGCTAAAGGCTTAGCTATTTGGTTTTGAAAAATCAGCTATTGAAAACCTTATGGAGCACAATTCTACTCTGACATATGTGGGGTCGCCATGAGTTCAAACTGACTCAGCGTCACTAGTGTTATTAATGCCTTGTTGTACCTCCAAGCATTCCAGTGCAGTATTTTAAATTAATGTGAAGATGTAACCAACCCGTACCATACCTACCACCCCACTATAGTTCTTAGCAAGACTGCACACTAACCTTAACATAAATTGCTCAGAAATTGTGGATTACAAAGCTTTCATCTGCATGAATATTTGGACGAGAATGTTAAAAAGAACTTAGTATTTTAAAAACGTTTTCTAGTGAGGACAGGGAGCTCTGGTAGCATAGTGGCTAAGGCACTTGACTGCTAACCAGAAGGCTGGCTGTTCAAACCCACCAGCCACTCCTCGGAAGGAAGATGGGGCAATCTACTTCCATAGTGATACTGCCTCGGAAACCCAAGGAGGGGTCACTATGAGTCAGGTCCCACTTGACGGCACATAACAACAGTAACAGTGAGGACAAGTTAACTCAACTTCCAATGAAGTCTTCCATTCTCTAAGTTTTCTTTGACCAAAGCTGTTCTCTGAAAGGAATATAAGATGTAAACTTGCTTTCATCAACTACCTTAAAGCTAGCCTAACTTTTAATTATTAGGAAAGTCATGATGAGCAGGCAGTGGTGTGTGATGTCTGCAGTCTTCAATCAAAATAAGTTTATCCTTCCTTGTTGTGATCTCCTCTCAGCAGACATAAAAATAATGCTCATTGGTTAAAACATAACAAGAAGAAGAATTTGCAGTCACTTCATCTTGCTGTTGCATAAGCTAATGTCTTCTCTTTTATCAGAACATAAGGTGTGAGGGAGTATTTGCTGCTGAGAAATGGGTTGCTGGTAACATTAGGCTCCAAATAAACAATGAATCCTTGATGGTTTTGTTTAAATAAGACTGAGAAATTAAAAATGAATGCTAACCTACTTTCTCTTTTCCTCTGTCAATCCATGCTTGGCCCACTGCCACCGTTGTCCGCAGAACGGTTACACGCCTTTGCACCAGGCTGCCCAGCAGGGGCACACACACATCATTAATGTCCTGCTCCAGCACGGGGCCAAGCCCAATGCCACTACCACGGTAAGACAGACTAGGCTGCCCTCACTATACTTTCTTCTTCCTCCTCTCCTGCTCTGATAGCTTCTTGTCTGAGCTGAGTGTTAACATATCTTCCTTAAATAAGCTTCCAGATTCTAGAGAAGTCAAATTGCAAAAAAGCCTTTGGAGGAGTCAGAATGACTTCACTGGGAGTGTTTCCTAGGAAGGGAAAATGGACAGCCTGACTCAGGGGTCTCCTCTCTGGAGAGTAGGCTAGTTCTCTACTTGGGCTGCTTGAACGTGCTGGCCTTACAGCTGGCTCTCATATGTGAGCACAAGTTGACCCGTCCCTCTGGGCCTTCTTAAGGTAGCACAGTTTGAGATGCTGCTGGTTTAGACAAAGCTCATTGAAATGTGGAGCCATTGAAATGTAAACTAAGCACTGCAATTAAACAAAAGGGGATCCCCAGTGGCTCGGCTGGAGCCTGCATTGCTGGCTTTTGTTACTTGGCCACTTGGTGAGCTTCTGCACCAATGCAGCTAAATATATTACTGGGTTCCCTAAGGTCACATCCTACCTGTAGAAGATGCAGTGACTTCTGAGAGGAATAAATGCATCACTTACTTCGTGTTAGTTTTTGGAAGCGCCAACCTCAATTCAAGAGGCCCTTTGATTAACACAAAACAGTCTCTGTAGAGATATTTGACAACCTTAGGGTTAAAGTATCAAGTGCTTTTTATTAGAAAGAGCAGGCAGATGTAAGCTTGTTGTGTTACCATGGTGACCTGGGCTATAGTCTAAAGAAGTTACAAAGACAGATTTAGATGTAATGGTAAAAACTAGTGATTTTCCTAAGCTGTGCCTTGTTTTGGAAGGAAATGCTGGCTCATGCAGAGCAGCGGGTGATCTCATTGGCTCACATCACAGTCCTCCCTCTAGTTTCTCACTCTCTTTCTCTCTTTCACTCTCTTTTCAGAATGGCAACACTGCCCTGGCGATTGCTAAGCGTCTGGGCTACATCTCTGTGGTTGATACCCTGAAAGTTGTAACTGAGGAAGTCACCACCACCACCACGGTGAGTACAAGTCACTGATTAGCTTCTGCTCTGTTGTCCTGGTTTTCAATTCACATACTTTTTCACTTACAAAATGTTTTGAGCTTTTTGTTTTGAACTTCTTTTAATGGTTATATGCTAGAACATATATAGAAGCATGCAGATGTAAGTATATTTACCCACAATGAGTGCCGAGATTTTAGCTCTTTTAATCATCCTAAGTCCATATAAATGTGTGAGTGTAATTGAATATTTAGTTCTTTTTCTTGTGACTGACTTCATTTTTCTGGCTCCTCTGCCCTTTGCTTTAGTTGTGTGTGGCACCTACTGCTGGCAAAGTGGTAGAACACCCCACAGCAAACTTCTGGAAAGATCCTGGCTTCAGGGTCCCACGGGGGACCTTGATCCAATACTATACGCACTACTCCCATTGAGAACAGTTTATCCTACTCTTCTTATAATTTCTAATTATTATGTTTTACTCAGAAAGTGTGCTTTCCATGTTCTTCACAGGTGGAACTGTGCCTGTGTCATGAAAGAGTGCATATCTAATTTTTTTAACTGTTACTGTATTAAATGCGATTCTTAATTCTTTAGGAGAACAGTGATTATCACCAGCCTTTGCCAGAGAAGCTGTAGAAGAGTGAAGCTCATAGTAATGAGTTCAAATGCTCTTGCATGGTTTAGTTGGAGCACAGCTTGAAGGAGGCCTCCTAAAAGGGAGCTCATAACTTAAAGTGGAAATGCTATTGTATTTGCATTTATTTGTTTATTAACTTTTCACCTTGGATTCAAAGAACATAAGCTCTTTAATTTATCTTTGTAAAGTTGAAAAGTAGATCGATAGTGAAACATTAGATGTTCCCTTAGAGACAATAAGATCATAAATCCACAAAAAATTCAGAAGGAGGTTCTAGTGTACACCTCAAATTAGGGATAATGCATACAGAGTTTTAGAACACTTAGTTCTTTTGATAGATGTAAGGGAAAAGAAAGGAATTCTGTTCTTCTTGCCGACAGCAAGTCCCTGATGACACACCTTGTGGTAGATGGAATGCAACTGGTTTGATGTGAACTTTTAAATAGAGTGGGATATGATTTATTAATGAACTGTAAGACACAGATTGAATTTTCATGGCAGAGAATAGCACTGCTTATTTTCTCAAGCAGAATCATAAAACCTTTGGCCAATACACCACAATATTTTTAAAGACTTAAAATTTAGCTTAAAGAGATCTGGTGGCAGAGTGGATACGGCATTAGGCAGCTAACTAGAACGTCGGCAGTTCAAACCCACCAACCGCTCCGTAGAAGGAAGATGAGGAGATCTAATTCTGTAAAGATTTACAGCCTAGGAAACCTAATGGGGATTGCTATGACTTGGAATCAACTCAATGGCAGTGGGTTTAAAGTAGAGCTTGAATAAATTATATGGGAGAAAACACAGCTTGTCATTGTCCAGCACCAGACTTGTTTTGTTAATTGCTGGTGAGTTGATTCCAACTCATGGTGAGCCCATCATGCAGAGTAAGGCTGTGTACCATAAAGTTTTCAAGGCTGTGACCTTTGGAAGTAGATCACTAGGCCTGTGTTCTGGGAGCCTTTTGGGAGGGTTCAAACAGCCAGCCCTTCAGCTAGTAATCAAATGCTTTGTACCACCCAGGCACTCCACACTATACACTGATGAATCTTAATGGCCTTTTTGTATGTGTATGCTTTCATATACCCAGAAAATCTTCATATTAGAGGGCATGTCAATCTGTTTCACATCCTTGAAACCATGTGCACAACACAGAAATATAAAGCTGTTCATGGCACATGTCTGTCTTAAAAGTTGCTTTTGTCAACTCTATTACCTTTTCCATGCTTTGGGAATCATTTATGCACATTTTTATCAAGTTGCCAGTAGATGGCAAAGTTGCATCTTTTTGCTGTCTTGAGAATACTTTTCTTTCATTTATTTCATTAACTCATTCATTTGTTCAATATTTATCAGCTGGGTTCTGTGCCGAGTACTGAGGAGTTATCAGTGGCTGAAACATTATTCCTTCCACAAACAATTTACCATTTAATGGGATTTGAGAATGAAATTTATGTTTTTTTAAGAAAATAAATTGCTCATTAACAACAAAAAAACTATGTAACTTACACATCCAGTTTCAAGGAGATCAGGATCGTAAATTTACTCAGAGTGAATGAAATCACAATGAAACACAAAGATATATTTAAAAGAGGAATATTTAGATTTCTGATACTGTCTATAAACAAATACCTTCTCAGAAATGTAACTTAGGTCATCTCCCAGCACATCTAGTTCAAAACTCCTTAGAACAAAACTCCTTAGAACTTCTCTGAGCTTTTATTTGTTTCTGGGGACTATTGATCTCTACACTGCCCAGCTGAGCATTGCTCCAACAAAGACCACTGTACTTAAAATTCAAGTTTCTAAGTGAAGAGCCAACAAGTAAATATAAAACATTACAGCATTTCCACTTTCAGTTATGGCAATAAGGAATCGTAGTTCACTTTAACTACCAAGCACTCTTGTTTATTTCAATGGCTAGTTTCATTGACTACCTACGCTCAAATTCACATTATCTTTATTTTCTGTTCCTCTTAGAATTGGATACCTATCTTAGAACTGGGTTCTCTTATAATTATGAGATTTATTGATTCATAAAGTGGAGTATGGGGTATGAGCTGAAAGTATAAGCTTATCTTTGTCTATTATGTGAGTCATCTTCTAACTTCTAACTTTGTATTTCCTTTCTTTGGAAAAGATTTTCAATCTTGCTTTTGCACATAGTGATGTTATTTCTTGAGGACATTAAAAACAATAACTGATATATAGAAATTACAAATATCTCAGACATTAAGGGCAGATCTGGGATTGATATTTAAGTTTCAGATTCCAAAGCCCATGTTCTTAACCACTGTGATCTTGGTTGTGTTGAAGCTGTAGCACCAGATTGCTAAAAGTAGTTTAACGGAAATTATTGTGAAAGAAACGTTTTCACCTGATTTTCAACAATAAAACACAGGTTGTTCTTTCTTATTGACTTTTATGAAGTCATAATTCAACATAATTTCTTAAGTTTATATATTCACTAAAAGTAATTTGGAACTACTAACTGATGATGCCAAGTAGTGCAAGAGACAATTTAATAATTATGTAAATTAATAAAATTAAATTTAATGTTTTAATATTTAAATTTTGTAGTTGGCTTATGCAGCTAACATAATTTAACTTCAATTGGATTCATATGATGTTGATCAGACATAAGAGTTCTCTTTAATCAAAGAAAGTTTCCTTTGCTGTCCCTCCTTCCGGAATTCTTTACCCCGAAGTATGAATAAATTCATTGTGTAGAGAGAAAAGTATAGCAGCAGTTTGTAAAGGAAAGGTCACTGCTAAAGAAATTTCTGAAACATTTTGGAATCATAGCTTGTTTCCTTAACCTTTGCTTTTCTAACTTCATTTTGCAAAACCCAGCGGGGGAAGTGAGACAGTTGAACATTCTCTTGGGATTACAGTCACTTTATGTTTGCCGGAATGGACATCAGAGGGTGGGGACACACATTTGGCAGTAGAAGCCAACAAAATCAATCTTTAATGCTGCTTAGAAGAACTGTGAGATATGATAATCCCTTTACTTATTGATTAGTTGTGATCAATTTTTTTTTATTATTATTTGCAGTTATGTTGCATATAGTCATTTATTTGTAGAGCATAAAGCACTAAGATGTATAAAAATAAAAATGTTTATATTATCACTTAAACATTGGGGAATGATATAATAAATAGTTAAGAAAATGTACATATTCAAAGTCCTAAATGTTATCTGATGCCAAATCTTAATGGGAATCATAAGAGTGGCAATACAATAAATATTTATAAAGTCATTTGTGATGTTTTGAGGTGGAGCCAAGATTATTTTGCTTGATTTTGAACATAGATTCATTTACTAGAAAGCTAAATTGCCATTCTTGCACACACAACATCAATAATTATATGTGTATGTGTATATATATATGTATATATAAAATCTCAGAAGGAGGGTTGGGCAATCTACTTCCATAGAGATACTACCTCAGAAATTCAAGAAGGGGTCGCTATGAGTTGAAAATGACTTGATGGCAGTGAGTTTGATTATATATATATATATATATATATATACACACAC